TAAAACGACATGTCTGAATATTCATTACTGGGTGATTCTTTGCTTTTTTAACACGTTAAGGAATCGTCTGTGAACATAGTCAATGCGACGGTATTGGCATGAGCCATATTTCAAGAGTGGTCGTTTTGCTACTCTTTACATTTTCGTTGTTGATTTCAGTCAATATTTTGGATAGGATAAGGGGTTTTAACCGAAGGCTGCTTTGATCTGGGCCTATCGTTTTAATGATGTGCTGCATTTGTGTTCCAACCTCATAAGTTTTTCACATTTATTTTTGTACCATCTATGTTTGGATTAATTCATAAATCTTGTGTTTATTTAATTGCTTCCTTTCATTTATGCACAAAAACATTTTTAGAATAAAGTGTCATATTCAAAATCCATTTCTTTCAACCTTTCTGTTTTTTTTACACCACCTGACATCAAACGCATAATTCAGCATTGTTTGGCAAGTACACGAAATGTAATTTTTAAATTGCTTTAATTGCTTTGTAATTTAAATAATTGCTTTAATATACAGTTGAAGTCAGAATAATTACCCCCCCCCCCCCCCCCCCCTTGATCTTTTTCTTTTTCAAATATTTCCCAAATGATGTTTAACTGAGCAAGGAAATTTTCACAGTATGTCTGATAATATGTTTTCTTCTGGAAAAAGTCCTACTTGTTTTATTTCTACTAAAATAAAAACAGTTTTTAATTTTTTAAACACCATTTTAGGGTAAAAATTTGTAGCCCCTTTAAGCTATAGTTTTTCTGATAGTCTACAGAACAAACCATCATTATACAAACATTACCCTATCCTGCCTAGTTAACCTAATTTACCTAGTTAAGTCTTTAAATGACATTTTAAGCTGTATAGAAGTGTCTTGAAAATATATAGTCAAATATTATTTACTGTCATCATGGCAAAAATAAAATTAAATCAGTTATTAGAAAATGAGTTATTAAAACTATTATGTTTAGAAATGTATTGAAAAAATCTCTAAGTTAAACAGAAATTGGGTTAAAAATAAACAGGGAGGCTGATAATTCTGAGGGTCTAATTATTCTGACTTCAACTGCATATAAGCAAAAGAGAAAAAACTAATTCATACTGAAATTCAAAGTAATGCATTAATGCATATTCTTGATTTTTAACAATTAAATAGCAAATCATTTAGACACTTTCGATGCTGTCAAATATTTTAGAGCACTTTTAATAGTTTGTTTTATAATGCAACACAAACCTAAAACTTTGGGGTTGGAAATAAGATTTAAAAAGTTCATTCATTCATTCTCCTTAGTCTCCTTATGGCTTAGTGCCTTTATTTATTAGGGGTCGCCACAGCGGAATGAACCGCCAACTATTCCAGCATATGTTTTACGCAGCGGATACCCTTCCAGTCGCAACCCAGTACTGGAAATCATCCATACGCTCTCACATTCACTCATATTCTAAGGCCAATTTTGTTTACCCAATTCACTTATAGCCCATGTCTTTGGAAACTGGAGCACCTGGAGGAAACCCACATGAACATGGGGAGAACATGCAAAAATGCCAACTGGCCCAGCCGGGACTCAAACCAGCAACCTTCTTGCTGTGCGTCGACAGTGCTAACCACTGAGCCACCATGCTGCCTCAGTTTTATTGTTAAACTTCATTTAAAAAAATGTTTGACTTAATATTTAAAAAATTGCAGAACTGAAGAGTCATTACGACAGAAATAATTTTAAAATGCAGTTTAAGCTCAGATAACATTTTAACATTCAAATTTCAAAGTATTTCAGAAAAATATAACACATAAATATGTTAAAGAAGTATCTACAAGTTTTAAATATGTTTCGCAAAATACATTTTAATTGGTAGTTCATTACACTGTGGCAAACCCTGAGAAATCAGGACTAGGTCGAAGCAAAGTGAATAAATGAATAAATAAATATTTTATTAAATATTTTGAAAGCTAAAACTGCAATGAAATGATGTCATGGATGTGACAACAGCTGTGTAAACGATAGTTATGTTTCAAAATTTGGAACGATAATACAAAAATTATAATTACTCTTTTTTTTTTTTTCATTTTGCATTTTTCTGTTAGTGCTGCCACAGTATCAGAATTCTAGAACTAAAAAGAGACCAAATATGATTAAACCTTCACCATCAAACCCTTCCAAAACATGGCAAAATTCGCATTTACAAAAATAAAAGGATTAGTGTATAAAATAGTATACATTTAGTAGACATAATATGAAACCTGGTACAACCCACAGGTGAGAGGAACATGGCAAAAGATTTTAATAAAGTACAAATGAAATGATTCAAAAAGGTTTCACATGAACTCAGAAATAAAGGTATGCGATCTGTCACTGGGGTGGTACCTTTTTAAAAGCTACACATTTGTACTTAAAGGGTCCATGTTGGTACCTTAAAAGTATACATTAGTAGCCTATCTAAAAATTTTAAGAGGAACACTTTTGTACTTTTTAAGTATTAATATGGACCCTTGAGGTATTAATATGACCTTTAAGGTACAAATTTGTACCTTTTAAAAAGGTACCACCCCAGTGACAGATCACGTACTTTATTTCTGAGAGTGCAGGATAAAGTTTTTAAGGTTTCTAATGATGCATAATTTAGCATAATTAACAATTATTAACAATTATTAATTTAGCATAAAGAAGAAAGGTAATAAAAAGCATTGTCATGTCCCCCCCATCACTGGTGGTGGTTTATCTTTAGAAGCGCATGTTGACCCAAAACTGAAAACTCATAATTTACTCATTAATTCCACTTGTTCATTGGTTCCCAATTTTCTTTCTTCTGTTAAACAATAAAGAAGATATGAACAGTTCAGATGCAAAAACCTCTAAATGCCATTTGATATTTTCAAAAATTTAAAGTAAAATACTTTAACATAAACATAGGAGGCTGAGAAAAATACTAATTTTAGGAGAAAACTTCAGACGGCGTCTGAACTCTTCATATTTTAATAATAATAATAATTCCTTAAATTTATATAACGCTTTTCTGGGCACTCAAAGCGCTTTACACATTGAATCTCCTCATCCACCACCAGTGTGCAGCATCCACCTGGATGACGCGATGGCAGTCATTTTTTTGCGCCAGACCACACACAACACACCAGCTGATTGGTGGAGAGGAGACAGAGTGATGAAGCCAATTATGATATGTGGATGGTTAGGAGGCCATGATGGACAGAGGCCAGTGGCAAATTTGGCCAGGATCCCGGGGTTAATACCCTACTCTTTTTTCAAAGGACCTCTTGGGGTTTTGATGACCACAGAGTTGAGACCTCGGTTTCACGTTTCATCCAAAAGACGGCGCTTACTGAGCAGTATAGAGTCCCCATCACTATACTGGGGCATTAGGACCCACACAGACTGCAGGTTGGGCGCCCCCTGCTGGCCTCACTAACAGTACTTCCGGCAGCAACCTAGCTTTCCCATGTGGTCTCCCATCCAGGTACTGACGGAGCGCAGCCCTTTTTAAAAAAAAGTTTGATAAATTGGTAGCAATTATATTACCAATAATTTCTGGATGCAGCCTTTATAATGCAAGCTGAGATTGCATCACCCAGCGATGCAACGTTAGACACAATGCACTCATTGGAGTGAGTGACATCACTGTGACAGGTAGGGTTAGGGGTGGGGTTAGGTGAGCGCATTAAAAAGCATGGGATGCAGCTCCGATCGCACTGCACCAGGTCTGCATCCAGACCACTCTCTTTGTTTTTGCTAAAAATGTATGTCAGTGCTTCTTAGCTTTCATTAAAATATCTTCTTTTGTTTTCAACATAAGTAAGAAACTCATAAAAGTGTGTAACTGCTTGCCGGTGAATAAATAAAGAGTGTACATTTTCATTCTGGGTCGCTGGTTCGAACCTCCGCTCAGTTGGCGTTTCTGTGTGGAGTTTGCATGTTCTCCCTGCCTTCGCGTGGGTTTCCTCTGGGTGCTCCGGTTTCCCCCACAGTCCAAAGACATGTGGTACAGGTGAATTGGGTAGGCTAAATTGTCCGTAGTGTATGAGTGTGTGTGTGAATGTGTGTGTGGATGTTTCCCAGAGATGGGTTGCGGCTGGAAGGGCATCCACTGCGTAAAAACTTGCTGGATAAGTTGGCGGTTCATTCCGCTGTGACGACCCCGGATTAATAAAGGGACTAAGCCGACAAGAAAATGAAATGAAACATTTTCATTTTTGGGTGAACCATCCCTTTAAAACAATGGCGCATACTTTTGCAGTGCATTTCTGTAATTCCCTTGATGTCCAGCAGAGGGACACTGCATTCCAGCCAAAATGTTGATCCGTGCCTCAGAGATCCACATCTCAAGTCTCCTCTCTGCTAAGCTTGTTCTGCTTAAAAATAGGAGTCATGCTTCTGTATTCCAGATCGGTTCTACGAAGTTACAAGTGAAACCATAAACAGTCAGATTTGAGTGAAGTGTGCTAAGTGGAAGCAGGATTAGCTTTAAATAGAGAGTATTAAATATAAATATCATTTATTAATTTAACCTAAAACAAATAAACTCCCTGTTTGCTGGGTAATTTGTTACAGTATTGCATATTATGATGTAAAACATATTAGACAGTGTGTGCATCAAATTAAAGGGATAGTTCACCTAAAAATGAAAATTCTGTAATCATTTACTGTCCCTTGTTTAAGCCTTTTCTTCAGTTGAACACAAGAGCAGATACAGGTTTTTGTCTTTATCCAAAATATCTTATTTAGTGTTAAACAGAGTTTTAAAAACACATAAAGGTTTGAAGCCACATAAATAGTGAGTAAATTATCATTTTTGGGTGAACTCTCCCTTTAATGACAGATGTGAAATGGCTAAAAATCAGTGACAGTACAGTATGTGACTATGCAACTGTCTAATTTTTTTCTTCCATTAGTTCACACCCCCTAGTGCCTAAAAAGGCAAGAGAGAGTGCAGCTGGTAAATCCAACACTGTCTAAGAATAAACCCGGGCTTGCAATGGATAAGGTTACCATGAAGCACTCCAGCACTTTTTCCCGTCCCACATCCATGTGAGGCACCAATAACATGGGCTAAATTACCAGCACCAATTTGCCTGAGCCCGAACTCCCCTGTTTACGTCCCTGACCTGCCATCCCCACTCTCCCACTGCCATGATCCCAAATCCGGCTCTCTGAAAACCCCTCATCCCGCTTTTCCTCACTAGACTGGGAGGTTTCACCCATGGATTGAATGGGGACGACAAAGAAGAACATCTTTTCCTGAGTGGGAATTAACATCAACTGGGTGAAACCGGCCTAATACGATTAGCCTACACAAGCAAAAATCAAAGGACATTCAGCTGAAGTTACTACTGCACCATGGCTCAGGCAACCAAAGGTACTGCAGGTCTTGCACTCATGATCTTCTGCATTTTATTGACAGACAGTGCTTTATAATAAAACTGTGTATAATTAATGATAATAAAAACTGAATTTACTATAAATCCTGCTGTGATGCAAGACAATTGATTTTAATCTGAAGAAACAAGTTGTATAGTCACGACATTAATGCATATTTTTTTTCCCAAGACCAAGACAGAAATGTCTTTTATTAAGTAAAAAAAAAAAAAAAATAATAATAAATAAAGACTTTTAATGATCAGCTACACTGTAAAAATACTCAACTTAAAATTCTAAGGCAACAAGCTTCAGGACATTTTTGAGTCAACTTAAATTGATTAAACTGGGTCAAGTCAAACATTTAAGTTGAGCCAACATTTTACAACTTTTACAGTGTACTTATTAATGGTGATTGTTTTATTCACGTGTTAGTTTTGGGTTATTAAAAAATAGATAATAATAAACAATTAAAAAATTGTCATTATATTTCCCAATACTATTTTTAATGTATTTTTGAAACCCAACACTCAACTTTATAAAATGAAATGAGTGTAGTGAACTCAAAATTCAATGAAAGTTAACTCATTTGAAAAGAGTTTTAAACTCATTGTTAAAGGTAATAAGTTAGTTAAATACCTTATTACTTCAGCTTAAATGGAGTAAGGTCACACTACTCATATGGATTAGTTTTTGAACTCAAATGGTTTGTAGCAATCGGTTTTCTCAAACAGTTTGACTGACCTTAACTTATTGGGTTTGACAGTACTTAGTTGGTTTGAGTTCTCTTCATTTATTGGGTTTTACTGTGCTCAAATTGCTTTGTTTACTCAAATAGATTAGGTTCACAATACTCAGTTTTTTTTAACTCAAATGGTTTGTTGCAATCAGTTTCCTCAAATGGTTTGAGTTGCCTTAACTTATTGGGTTTTACAGTACTCAGTTGATTTGAGTTCATTTCATTTATTGGGTTTTACTGTGCTCAAATTGCTTATTTTACACAAATAGATTAAGTTCACAGTACTCATTAGGATTAGTTGGTTTGAGTTACTATATACATATATATATATATATATATATATGTGTGTGTGTGTGTGTGTGTGTGTGTGTGTGTGTGTGTGTGTGTGTGTGTGTGTGTGTGTAAAAACTGTAAAAAAATATATATATACAATTAGTCATGGCAGCATATGTTTTTAAGTTATTGTAACTTCTTAAACTAAGTTAATCATGTTCTAACTTAATTTTATAAGTTATGCAAGCTGTTTTAATCAGTTTAACATAAGTTACACTGACTCATAAGGTTAATTTGATTTAGCATACAAATTTAAGGCAACCAAGATATCATTTATTTATTATCCTTATTATTTGTTTTTATCAAACGAAAGCAGTAAAATCTAACTGACCCCAAACGTTTAACCTTATCATGTGTCAATATGCCTAACAAACATAGTTGATGTTTTGATGACAACTATTACATTGGGATGTTTAGTTAATATTTATTTATTTATTTATTATAAGCATTGAAACATTTCACAGAGTATTAATACAAATTCAAGCATAAACTATATCCAAGACCATTACAATAAGTGCAAAACACATCCAGACATAATAATAAAACAAAAACATAACAAGTGAAAATAATAATAAAATAAAATATAACATGGTACTAAAATAACAATAAATTATGACACAATCAAACTACAATGGGGGATCAGTACCAGAAAAAAAAACTCATTCTTTTTGTTTAGTTAATAAATAGTTTCTTTGTTTAGTCCATGATGTCACTAAACTCAAGCAGCGGGGAGAAAATAACACGAGGGAGATGCAGTTTATTCTTGCAAGAGTGAAGTCAGTTTAGACTTGAGAACAGATGTACCAAATAATTATCAGTACACATTATGGTGCTGTATTTTTTAGGAAAACTGCAGGATATAACTTGTACTGTATGTAACATTTTTGCATATACTGTAAATGTTTGCAAGCAAACTTAACATTCAGAGCAAGTACCTCCAAGGTTGCTAACAGATATTGGTATACTGTTTTGTGCAAACTTAACTCATACAGTAGTGAAATCCATCCCTCCCACCGCTGTAGATGCTCCGGCTAGAGCAGTGCATCCAGAATCCTTTACAGCCAGGAGTCATGGAATTTTACTAACCATGAGTCGTCCAGCACAATGGGTGGTCATCATCACACTTCTGATCTCTTGGTCAATAGCTGGTGTTGTCATGTTTGACTTTGTCAGTGATGATCAGATTGCAAGTAAGTTGAATAAATAGTTTTTATTTGACTTGTTTCTACTGTTGTTGAATTTGTTGATTTCACTCAGAACTTTTGTCATGCAGGCATCCAGGATTTAGGTTCAGATCCAGCGCTAGCAGTGAACATGGCCATTGAAGGAATCGAAAACAGGATAAACCACATGAATAATATGTTTAATGATGCTAATGGTAGGCCTGTGCTTTCTTTACACAAAAATAATTCGTTTTAGTTTGGTAGCAGTCATTTTTTTTAGACTATTTTTCAAAATTTGTTATGTTATGTTATTAATGCAGTTAACTGAATCTTTCAGTTTTCAGAAAGAGTGCAAAACCCTTAATAAATCTAATAATTAGTATAACATGGTATATTTTAAGTCTTCTAAAGCTATACAGCAGCTTTGTGTCAAAAACAGAAGTCATTATCATTCTCGCATAATTTTGACTCGACTGATTCGCATGAACCGATTCGCTAAAAGATTCAAATCAGTGACTCATTTTTGAATCGGCAACAGCTGTGCTTCAGTTGTCACATGAACGCGCCCAATTGAGAAGAACGATGTACATGGTAGTGAATGACATTTGACTTGTTTTGGTATTTTTCCTCACAAAACTATCACACTGAATGATATTAAGTACTTTTAATACGCCTCTGACAATCAGTTCATTGTAAATGCATCGCAAACTTGTATGTTTGAGAATGTTGTGAGATGAGGAACGTAAACGACAGCATTTCCGTTTTGACTAACGTTAAGCCAGTCCAAAGAGCATAGGCCAGTCCAATGAAAAAATGTATGATATATTTATTTATAAAATTGTTATCTTCATGCCATTTTCTTTCATCTTTTATTTGGAATATCTAGAATACATTGGTGAATTATTATATAATCCGAAGGAAGCTCTTTATTCAGCAGCTGACTCATCCGTGTCTTATGTGACAGAAATGCTCACACCTGATGGTATGTAAATATTCATTCAATTCAATTTATCGCTTTTAAAATAGTTCACAAGCAGTTTAACATTTTAATTATTCAGCTCTGCTTCTTCTTTGTTTGTTTACATTCAGAATTAATCATCGAAACTGTGAAATATGGTGGAACTGCATTGGATGAGGTTACAGAATGGGTCAGATTTCCAGTCTGCTGCTTATTCCACTTATACGAAGGTACCTGCCTTATTTTTCATGCTAAAATATTTGTTGTTTTGTGAGATGACATGTAATAAGAGACTCCTAATGTGATATAACCCAAGAATTGGAGTACATGCTACTAAAATGTGCTATATTGTTATTGAGTATTTTTATTTACTAGTTCTATTGTATTTAAATGATCTAACCTCTCTGTAATCTCAATACTCCATATATTATTGTTATTATGATAACCATAATTTTTTAATATTAAGATAAAAATACATTGTTAGTTATATTTGAGGGGCTAGATGCACTAATATTTTGACTTTCTTGCTGCGTAGACGTCCTGGATATAGTCTTTACGCCAGTGGATTTGCTGAGTGAAGCTGTTGTGCAAATTTTAAGTGGAATCAAGACTATTGTACAGTATCTTTCAAACATATTGGAAGGCGCTAGAGGTACTTCAGATCACATATAAATTCACTCATAAACCTCTAAATTCCATCTTGTTAACATTCCTGCATTAATTCTCAAAGCATCGATCCTGTATGCGGTTGTTCAGAATTGTTTTTTTTTTTTTTTTTTTTAAATCATTACTATTATTACAGACATCACTGATATTGCCAAACTTGGAGGCACTGTATTGGATAAGGTTACTGACTGTATTCGATTACCAGTGGGTTACTTATTTTACTTATTTGAAGGTATGTACATTGCTGAAACAATTAGCTTGTGTTGTGTGAGCAGATATGGAGTGAAATACGAATGATGAACATGTTTCAATCAGCATTAGAAAATGCCCCTGATTTCTCTGCATAAATAAATAATTAATCATGTTTGATCATTTCATTGAAAGATTCAACTTATTTTAGACTCGCTGGTTTCTGTTTAATTCTGTCTTTGCCATTCAGCCATCCTGGAGGTAACCATTATTTATCCAGCGGATTTGACAAGCGAAGTATTTCTGCAAATTTTAAATGTGATCAAGAACACTTTATCAGCCATATTTGGGTTCTTCAAAGGTACTGATTTAAATTCATTTTTAAATTTTATTTTTGACAAACAGTGTTATAGGGCTGGGCAGTTAATCAAAAAGTAATCGAAATCAGCATTCAGAACCTATAATCGATCTAATTTTTCCAGGTCAATTTTTTTCATTTTCTTTTCTTACCATGTGTGGAGTTACGTGATTTTGCTTTGTCAAGGCTAATTTATAATTATTATATTATTCTGTTATTATACTTCTGCCAAGCGCACGCACACAGTCCGGCGTAGCCTTTGCATAACCACACACCTCTCAAACAAACTACACGTTACAACGACACATAGCGCAAACTTTGTGATCGGTCGCTTAAGTATCGGCGACAAGGGTGGTCGGCGAGGAGAGCCGCGTTTTGGGCAATGTGCGTTTTAATTTCAGTTGTTTAGCATTAATGTTCAATAAATAATCATTGACAATATATAGTGTGTTTCCTTCAATTATTTTAAAATCAAGTAATGCACTCTTCATTTAAATATCTCTCACTTGTAATATGTGATCATATTTACTGTACAAAACCTGTCAGTGAACTATGAGGGCAAAAACATTAAATAAATAAATAGGGATGTCTCGGTACATTTTAACTTCCGATACGATACCGATATTGCAGCCTCAGGATGAACCGATAACGATACAAATCCGTGGTTTACCTATTTCGTTGTGGAATGTATGATGTATGAACGGCTAGATCAAACTGAGAACAAAAGTTAGCAACAGTATGGAAAAAACAACCAATTTATTAACTATTGGTTGCATAAATGTAAACCTTTTACATAAGAATATGTAAAAAAAGAATTAAAGAATAAATATTAAGACCCTGAAAAATATCTTAATTGAATAAACAAAAATATATTTTTTAAAGTGCAAAATACAAATTAAAGGTCACTTCAGTTATTTATTTTTTACCATTAGCAAATGGTAGAAACAGCTGAGAGCAGGAACATAAGAAAAGAAAATGTTAATTGACCAACTGCTAAAGGTTGAGTGTCTAAAGTTTCAATTTCACACACAGCTTCTTGATGAAATTTTGATCCAGTTTTGAGGTGAAAGGTATCTTTTACACTGGGCAGCAGAAATAGGAAGTTTTTGTTATAAGTTAATGTTAAATGAATAAAAATGTGCAGTATGGTTAGTACAAACATTTACATGATCAGATCTATTTAATCTGTGTTTGTATAGTAAGAAGATTATTCCTGTATCAATGGTCCCAAACAAAACATTATTAATTTTATAATAATATATATTGCACATAATATCTTTAACAAAAATATACTTGCAGTAGCTGGATTGAAACACACCTTTTTTCCACAGCACATAAAATAATATGACTTTTTTTAAGAATTATTTTATTTATCAAAATTCATTTTATTTGCATAATACATTGCACAGATTCCCACATGGGAAAAATTTGACAATGTAAATAAAGACAGAACTGCAAACTGATGTGCAAAGCTGACACTGTTTATCAGAGCACTTTGTCTTTCTGGGCTTTTTAAAGAAGAGTTAAACATGGGAATGCCTCTAATTAAATTTTCCTTCTGCCCGAAAGTTATACCATTCATTCTTTTAAACTGTAATGGCCCTTAGCAACAGAACGATTTCTTATTCTTATTTAACAGACAATTAAAACAACAAAAAATGCTAAGCATTTAACACCTTTTACATGACACTGTTTCTTTTCAGTGTGTTCAAGTAAAAAAATGAAATAAAAAAATTAAGAAATCCACTATTTCACTCCTATTATCCATGTGCACCACTGACAGGTCAAATCTGCACCCTCTTTCTCTCTCCCTAGTCTGGGTGCTGCTGAGAGATTGAGATGCACCGGCCAAAGTTTGCATATAAAAAAATGCAAAAACGCAGCTATAGAAAATGAAGGCAGAATCCGGGACATGTTAGGTGATTTAGAAATCTTGGCTGAAAGCATTTTTCCCAATTACTTCACGTCATCGGACCTACTTCTGATATGAATATCGGATTGGGACATCCCTATAAATAAATAAAATAACCGTTCATTAATCGTAATCAAGTTAAAATGTTCAATTAATTAAGATTTTGATTTTAGGCCAAATCGCCCAGCCCTACAGTGATATAATCATTTATAATCACTGTTTAAATTTTACATTTACAAGATATCACATTTTTATTCAACACAATAGTTTTCTCATTTTGTAATAGTAAGAAATGTACATTTTAAAATATGTTAAAGCAGAATGTTTATTTTTAATTTGCTCAGTGAAAATGTACAAATTTTAAGTGGTGTCAAGACTATTATACAATTTCTAAAAAAACATGTTCGAAGGCACAGAATGTACTGCAAATCACCTACTGTTTTAATTCACCCATAAACGTCTAAACTGCATTCTGTTCAAATTGTAGCATGGATTCTCAAAATAAGCATAAAATTTGTACGGTTAGTCAAAATTGTTTGTTTTTAATTATTGTCATTCTTAATTATTTAATAGGGGATGCAGACATCACTGAAACAGCCAAACTTGGAGGCACTGTATTGGATACAGTTACTGACTGGATTCGATTGCCAGTGGGTTACTTATTTTACTTGTTTGAAGGTATGTACAGTGCTGAAATAACAGGCTTTATGCAGTCCTCTGCATAAAGAAATAATTAATCATTTTTGATCACTTCAATGAAACATTTAACCCTTAATTTTTAATTCCTGCTTCAAGAGTTCACACTTAGCTGATGATTGATTATTAAGATTGTTTGGCATGCTGTCCCGGAAGAAAGACCCTGAGCTTATAAGATCCTCGAGCCCAGGGCTCCCTCCCTTTTGCAGGGCGAAAGGGGAGTTTGAGCTCAGGTAGATCTCGAGAACTCCCCTACTGTAGTAGATGCTGAACAGATAGTGATTGCTCTTAAGAGATAACTACTTACTAGGAGCATGTCTACAGTGCTGATTTGGATTAGTCAATTAACTTAAGTTGCATAATTTTGGATGGTGGGAGGAAACCGGAAAACCCGGAGGAAACCGAAACCCACGTGAGCATGGGGAGAATATGTAAACTTTGCACAGAAATGTCGGCTGGCTTGGTAAGGACTAGAACTAGTGACATTTTTGCTGTGAGGCAACAGTGCTAACCACTGGGCCACCGTGCCACCCATTTAGGAAAGGAGGAGGAGTAGGGGTGGAAGGGGAGGTTTTTCAAAACAAAGATGGCTGTCATATGGAACTTAAGGTATTTGTAGTGGCTAAGGAATCATCTGATTGGTGAATCATAAATTGAATAATGCGGGACCAGCCGCAAGCAATCATAAGCATGTGATCCTCTCCAAATTAGTTTATAAATAAACTTCACTTATTTCTGTCTTTGCCATTCAGCCATTCTGGAGGTAACCATTATTTATCCAGCGGATTTGGCAAGTGAAGCATTCCTACAAATTTTAAATGTGATCAAGAACACTTTATCAGCCATATTTGGGTTCCTCAAAGGTACTGATTTAAATTTATTTTTAAATCTTATTTTAGAGAAACAGTGATATAATCATGTATAATCACTGTTTAAAAAATTAGGATCAAAAATATTTTTAAAGATTTCAAATTTTTATTTAACACCAGCACAACCATTTTCTCATTTTGTAATAGTAAGACATGTACATTTTAAAATATGTTAAAGCAGAATGTTTGTTTTTAGTTTGCTCATTGAAGCTGCTCTGCAAATTTTAAGTGGCGTCATGGCTATAGGGTATATGCACAGCTAGTGTTTTTCCCCATACTGATAAACTTCCGGTGAATGGTTAGTGTGAGTTTTTTCCATTTTATACGGTTCCTTTAACAGCATCGATGCTGTAATGTAGGGGTGTCAAAATTAATCGTTTCTTCGGTGCATCGCAATGCAGACGCGGACAATTCGGTATCGGTTCAGTAATAATCATAACCGGTTATTACTGACGTCATTTACCTCATATGCGCTCTGTCGCGAGGGAGGCGATCGCGAGTATTTACAACGCTTTAACTACTTAAAACTCATAAACTGTGCACAATTTCACTGTGTGTGTTTGCTGGATCAGTCTTTCACTGACATATACAACAATAGCCCCTATTTCACTGAGATCGAGAGAATAAAAGTAGCCTACTCCATTTCTCTCTTTCTCTCTCTCTCTCGCTCTCGCTTTCGTTCTGTCTCTGTCTCTCTCTCTTTCTCACACACACACACACACACAAACACATACACACACACAGACACACACACACACACAGAGGCCCATTTGACCTGCTGGGGTGGCTTTTCTTCTCCTCTCGGCTGTTTTACAGCATTATGTTTGGATACAGAAACGAGCGCATGTCTGCAGAGTTTTCTCCACCGTGTCTATCATGCATCAGCTGTGAGATCGCCGTTGCCGCCTGCCACTTATTAGTGTCACTTATCTGAAGAGCGCAGTGCGCAAGAGCCTATCGCAACCGTTTTTGTTGAGGGTGTGACCAATCAAAGAGGTGTAAGAGAACTAGACAAGGATCAGAAATTGAGCTGGATATTTATATTTGTTTATATTATTTGCTTAATGCTCGTTTTGTTTAAAGTTACAGTTTATATATCTGACTGTTTATATTAAACGACAAAATTGTATTACAAATAATATATAAATATAAATATATTCATACATTTTAATACAAGAACTGCTGCTGTGAAGAAAATATAAAATTGTGTATGGAAAGCATCGTCAATGCACCGTGATGCACCGAAATATCGTATTGAACCGAATCGATGGCATGATAATTGTCGAACCGAACCGAACCGTGAGACTAGTGTAGGTTCACAGCTCTACTGTAATGTAATAAAAATATAATCCGTTAAATAAACTTTGTCATCCATTTAGTTGCTCAAGCGTAAAACTAGTTGAAAAGCCGTTTACACGCACGCGCCCCCCCGTCAGTATTTGCAGGCTAGCGCAGAAGATCTATTTATTATACTGGGGTAAAATAAATGTTCATATTTTAAGCACACGGCAGGGAAAATTTTTATTTAATGCAGTGCTTCTTGTACTATCTGAGACTCACTTTATATCGTATATCACTCAGATATAGTGGAGATCACTGATTTTGAAAGAAAACGGAAGTAAAATGTGCCAATGGTATACTGTTCACCGGAAGCACTTCACCCAGGTCACTGACATATTAAAAGTCCTTCCGCATACTTCTGGATATACCCTAGTATACAATATCTAAAAAACATTTTTGAAGGCACAGAATGTACTGCAAATCACCCACTGTATTAATTCACTCATAAAAGTCTAAACTGCATCCTGTTAATATTCCAGCATGGATTCTCTAAATAAGCATTGATTCTGTGTGGTTAGTCAGACTCAGAATTGTTTGTTTTTTATTATAGTCTTTTTTTTTATTAACAGGGGATGCAGACATCACTGAAACAGCCAAACTTGGAGGCACTGTATTGGATACAGTTACTGACTGGATTCGATTGCCAGTGGGATACTTATTTTATTTATTTGAAGGTATTCCTGAAATAACTGGGTTTTGTTTTGTGAGCATTTCAATGAAACTTTCAACTCTTTTTTTTTTAAATTTCTGTTTATTTCTCTCTTTGTCATTCAGCCATCCTGGAGGTAACCATTATTTATCCAGCAGATATGGCAAGTGAAGCATTTTTGCAAATTTTAAATGTGATCAAGAACACTTCATCAGCCATATTTGGGTTTCTTGAAGGTATTGATTTTTTTTTACATTATTTTAGACAATCTGGGATTTTTAATCAATTACCCTTTTTTTCAACATCAGCACACAAGAAATGCTTCTTGAATCCAAATCATGATATACTAATAATTTCTAAAATATCATATGTCATTGACGACCAAATAATGTATGCTAAAAATGAAGCTTTACCATAACAAAGTGAATTACTATTTATTTCATATTTATTTCATATTTATTAGGATTAACCCCTTGAGATGTCTCAGTTTCAAGGGTGTCCCACAATTTATTGCAATTGCATAATAATAACAGTAGATAACAATACAAAACATAAATTACATAAAACATCAACATCAACAGAAAGGGAAATAGTACAAATATACACATATTCCTAGTACAAAATAAACAGATCAGTGAATCAAATAACCACATAAACAACAACAGGAAAAACAAGTACAGTCCAAAGTAAAACATGACAGCGAAGTTTGCTTAAACACCTTAAATGATCCAATGGATCACTTGTTGGCAGGGAAATTATGCCAATTTATTGGACACTTAAACATAAATGCTCTTTTAACAAAATATATTTTTTTAACAAGATAAAACAAAAATAAGTCTGAAGAGAATGTCTAACTTGATCATTTTAAAGGAAAAATAATATAAATAATGTGGATACTTAAAATGAATGTATTTAAATATAGATTGAAGTTAATAGATCTGTACACTAATACTGATTTTACAGTATATATATATATATATATATATATATATATATATATATATATATCTTGTCAATATTTTAGCTTGGTTCCCCAAAATGAGCACTCGTCCTACAGAGCTGGTTGAAAAGGTTGCAGAGGAGGCCACTGATGTAAAGACCACCGTCTCTAATTATCTGTCCAGTCTGTTTGTGAGGGATGAAGGTAATGCATATACATCCCTTCCAAACAATTTGTATGTTTTATGTTTTTACCCTGGGAAAAAATTATGTGCGTTATGTTAACATATGTTTAACGTAACATTTATTTTCCTCAGGTGGTATTCCTGACGTCACTTTTGATCCCATGAAAGTTGTCTCAGACACCGTTGAGGAGTTTGCAGACAGAAGAGATATGTTATTAGCTTATCTCTCAAACATGCTCATGGAAGACAAAGGTATTCATAACATCATCATATTATCATAAATGTATATACGTATGTTAATTTCCAGTTTTCTCTTTAATATTTTCTGTTATTCTCAGTTTCAGATGAAACACCACAGGTGATAAGGCGAAAAGGTTTGTATCAGTTTTCATTCACCCAATATTTAAAGCTGCATAAACGAACTCTGACCTGGTCTGTGGTTGAAACACACAATTAAGATTTGTTCGTATTATAATTCTTCAGGAGAATTTCTGCCCCCTATGGAAAAAGGTTAGTAAAAGCACATCTTTGCATTTACACAAAAGCTGTAAAATTATGTACAAATAACACTACTACTAAAACCTCTCAAATACTACAGTACTATGGGTTTGTTCATACCTGTAGTTTGGTTCTCTTGGTTCTTTCGACCTGAATTAAAACCAAAAAATATATACATTTAGTCTGTCTTGATGCAACTTGAAGTTTCACAATCAGGGCTTAGTTTAAACCAGGACTAGTCCTTTGTAAAATTGAAGTATTTAAACAGCTTATATAAAATGCCTTTAAAGACCACATTGCTAGAATGCATCTTGAGAAAAACCAACACTCTAAAAAATATTGTTAAGACCAAAAGAAAAACATAATAAATTATGTACTTAATGTGTTATGTACTTAATTACCATAATTATACATCCAAGTTTTCAAGTTTAGAACCTCAAATAAAAGTCGCTGAACTTGTTTAATTTTTGGTTTGCTTTCAAATTTACTGTTCATTTAGTTGCTTGTAAGAAATATATTCACCAACAACACTTTTGTTTCCAGTAATTTATTTTTATTTTACAAAACAAAATGTGTACTGTCCCATGTAAAAAGTATGAAAAATAGCTAAAAAAAACAAAACAAAACAAAACAGTGTGTGGGCGCATTACTTTTGCACTGGGCTTCAGTCCATCTAGTTCATGAAACTTTACAAGTATATTTAAGTTTCTGGGGGTAGCTCAGATTCAGAGCATATATAATGCCCATCAGCAGAGCACAGCCCCTTGAGATATCCATTCCAATTAGGATTCTCATGCCCTCAAACATGATGGTTTTCATCTTGTGGTTCATTTCCAAAGTAGACTGATCACCAAGGATGGCAATTTTCATCACTTGCGTTTTTAAGGTCCTCCTCAAACTCTTGTGTATTTTTGTAAAGCAAGAAAAATTCCAGAACTCCATTAGTTTGCAAAAATTGAGTTATCAACCCAATTTCTTTGGGTTGCTACAAGTTAAATTTTGATTCAAACTAATTGACAGACATATTTACATTTAAAATTAGCCACATTTTTAGTTCATGCAATTATCAAAATTTTTCTGTTGTGAAAACTTAACATTATTCTGACAACTTAAAAGTTTTAATCTAATCAGTAATTTAAAATTTTTAAGTTACAACAATGTATTAAGCTATGTAGGGGTAACAGACCTCTCGGGTTATTTTGTTAGAGTGAATGGCACTGATGTAACTGCAAGTTATTTTTAGGTAATACAGCTCAAACATGCAATTTAGTCTAGGATTAGCTTTAAAATGGTCTAAATGATAGAAATATACAAAACAATTAAGATAAAAAAATATTTTGGTGACAGACACTTACCAATTGTATGTTGAGCAGGAAGGTTCAGATGGCAGTTTTCAGACTTATTCAATTGAACCACACTAACTGACATATCCGTTTGTTTTAATCGAACCAAACCTGCCAAGTGTGAACACAGCCTAAAACAGCACCAGCAAACTTAATATTCAGGACTTAGGATTTCAAATGTGCTTGATTTTAACTTGCAAAGAAACAAGCATGTTACAAACATATAACGCAAGATTTTGAATTAACAAAAAGTATTTAGTTTCCTGCATCATCATTTTCTATCCATTCATCTTTACGCATTGCTATGTTGTGTCTTTTCATGTTTAAATCTTTTTGGTAATTAAAACATTTAAAAACAGTGTTACAGATTCTGTATTATGGCGCATGAAATGGTCCTGCATGTCTGCATTCATGGGTAATTTTATAAATCATTTATTTGGATCACTTGTATTGTCTTTCTGTACAACAGTGTGATTGTTAATGTCCTGCACTCTCCATCTCACACAGTACTGGCCATGTGTTTTCTCCACATTATGTAAAAGTGCTTGTCTTTAATTTCTCCAGAATGGTTTAAATCAGAGGTGGTGCATGAGATTTTCACCAAATGCAAAAATAAAAATTTGCCAAATGCATTTCTTGCTGTTTGATTTCCTATCCCCTCCTTGCGATGGAGTGCGACGTCTAACCTTCTCTGATACATTCGCCGGTTTATATTCACAAGCATTCAGCATGTAGGAGTTCTTACTACACGGTATGGCACATGTTGCAAAAATATTGTGATGTTCACAATATCAATGCCCTGGGATTTAAGCTGAGGTTGTGGAAAGGAAATAGAAAGTTTTAGAAGAATGTTTATATGACCAGTGTTCAGGCATTAATGATGTTCATGTAAAGGTGCAGTATGTAAGATTGATACCCAGTGGTTGAACTGTAGGTTTTGCAGTTCACATACAAAAAACGTTTTCACCCAGCCCCTATTTCGACGACTTCAAACAAATGCAATTTGCCAGATTGACAACACCAACACAAGAGAGCTGCCTTACTATTGAAGACACGTGACAAAAGGAATCTTTTCCATGGTAAAGGAGTTTTTGTCCAAATCATCACCTGAAGCTTTTATTTTAAAACCATTTCTATTTCACACAACTGAACAGCAACCTTCAAATCTGAACCTGGAATGCTAAAATATAATTGGGTAAACTGGCAGTAGGTGGGTTATAGAGACTAGGGTTGGGCAATGTTGGCCAATTTGGCATCACGATGGACGATGGCATCGTCGTCTTAGGTGGCAATGAATTTATAATTTATACATAATTAATTAATTCATAACGAATTAATTATTTGTAGCCTACCGTTTTAACCACCTGACCTGCATGGTCATTGATTTACCCATAACCAAATCATGAATAAATGAAGATAAGTTACACACAAATTACGATCTGTCAATCACTTTTTCTGCAGAGCTCTGGCATGAATAGGCAGAGTGATCTGTGTCATAATAATGGCGCCAACAAACTTGGTTGGTAAAAAAGGTGCACAACCAACAGGAACCAACCAATGACTGTAAAAAATATGGACGACGCGACAGCCCTTTTTCCCATTGAACGCCTTGAGGGCAAAACGCCTGCTTGACGGGCACAAACTGTCGCAAAAGACTGCTGAAATTGGAGCCAGACATGCGCAGAAGGATTGTCTGATGGAGCCAGAGGAGGAGCCGCGAAAATGAGCAGAGTCGAGCTTCCAATCGAACGCTTTATGTAAAATCAACTACGCCCCCCGAACTTCTCAGCATGCGTTTGCTGTCATATCAACACAAATGGATGTAATAACGTTAACAAATATGAGGGTTTTATATATTCAATCGCGCCAGCTCCAGGCCGCAGCGCATAACTTACTCGCGGCGTCGCGGGCTGATTCCGGCTCGCATGCGGCAGCGCCTGCTCGCTCGGCCGCCGCATCTGGCTCGATTGACTCGGGCTGGAATTGGGCAGTGAGTCCAGGCATCCGGAGTAGGTCCCGCAGAGGTAACATTAGTCAGTCTGAGCTCTAAGAGATAAGTCTCCGGCAGGCGAGAATCTAGCCGGAACTGTGTTTTGCTATCTGGGTGGCTAGGCGTGTATCAGCAAACTAATAAAGCCAGAAAAAAGCCCTGAACTTAGCGAATAAACAGTGTTCCACCAGGATCATGTATGTCAGAAACTGTAGTTTACTGCTGAACTCATTTTGTCATGGTAAAATAACACAGAAATCGAATAATAACATTTCAGTCTACTTCAGTCTCCTGCCGAAGCTCAGACGCCGCGCTTTGAGAAACTGTCAATCACAGCTGTCAATCACGATGACACGCCCAGCATTAAATTACTGCTAAAAACAAACTGTTTACAAAAATGAAGATCTGCACCTATTTCAGCACAATAACCAGTGCCTTAATCGACCAGAACTATCTTTCGGGACATTTTATTGCAAGTGTAATATTTTTTTTTATTTGGGCTCAAGTCTCCTTCATTAACACGGAGGAGGCGGGCTTTATGACTTGTACTGCAGCCAGCCCCCAGGGGGCGATCTAACGGCCGAAACCTTCACTCAAACGTAGGCTTGCGGCACACTTGGAACCAACCAAGTATCTGAGGTTTTCGCAAAAATTGCTAAGTACAAGCGTGAAAGTGAAAGATTGAAGCAGTGTACTGACGCTGTGACACCTTACCTGATAGATTCAAAAGACAGAAGAGTCATTAGAAAGAGACGAGATTAATTAAATATCACGATTACAACTATAGTGAGACATGATTCAGCAGTACATCCTTGATAAACTGTCTGAAGTGCACTGCTCTCTGGGGTTTTGTGCTCTAAGCACCCACTGACTGCTGGGGCTCAGACGCGCACGTACGATGTAGCTCATAAAAGTGAGTGCGTTTTCAGCTGTATCATGTTGAAGGAGGGCTTTTCAGAAATGCTAGGGGTAACATCAGTGTGGATGTGGATTGTTTTGTTCTAAAATGGCATTTTAAAACTATGACGTATTAGTGTAAATGGGGCCTAAGTGTGTATTTTGAGCGAGCGGATTGCTGCTTTGACGGGGGCGGGGCGGGGCGGAGGATCGTAATGCCGGCTCAGCATTGTGATGTCTATTGGCGATGGACGATGGCATCGTCTATCGACCCGACCCTAATAGAGACCAAAACAAAGATTAATATTCTGACATGAAATGGACATTTTTAAAGGAGAATAGCTCATTTTAACTTGTTTCTTGAATATCTGCAAACATTGGCCATATTATGGCCTTTTTGTATTTTAGAAGATTCAAAAACTTACATACTGCAACTTTAAAATGTATTTATTTAAAATACACTTGCTGGGTCATTCCCTTTTATTAATGGGTTTTTCACAGCAATTTAACTTTTTTCCAAGACTATGTGAACAGATAAAAAATCTAAAGAACCCCCTTTTGTGTATTAAAAAGATTTTAATAGATTTGTAAAGTTTCTTCATGGGACCATAAATGTCAAATGGGCACCATCAGTTTAGTACAAATCAATTAGAAAAAAGTGTTTCCTTATTTCATAAATGCACAGAAAAAAAAGCTTTCTCAAAGAGGCATGTTTTATAAGCATTACAATTTCAACAATGAGCTTAAAACAGTTCAACTGAAGTTTGTTTTGTCAGGGTGCAACATGTGCATACTGGCGAGGTCATCAACTTGATGCAATGACATAACGTCTCGTGTATACCTAATCTAGTACATTTTTTATTTACAAAATGAGCTTGGATCTGTGATAAATCTGAATTGAAAATTGACTTGATGAAACAGTTGCAGAAGTACTAGGAAAAACTCAGGACCCCATCTACGCTGCCTACATCGCTGTGAGATCCACAGCTGAGACAGACGGCGATGAACTGGAAATAAAGGGGGCTGAGGTGGACTCTGCTGAAGATATCTTGGAAGAACAAAAAGTTGAAAAGACAGTGGACGGCTCTGAAAATGATGCAGTTGCCTCTGTTGAGGAGGAAAAAGCAGTTGTTGATATTGTAGATGAGGAATCTTCTCATACGCCTGAAGTCACAGATGAAGAAATGGCAAAAGAAAAAGATGAAGACACTTCTGATTCAACTGAAATGACTTCTGATGTGCAAGACATTGATGATACCATAGATTCTGAGACTGAAGAAATTCCTGAAATGGTTGAAAGTGTTTCAGAGGTTGGAGAAGAGGAACCTTTTGTAATTGAAAAGGTTGAAGACACCTCTGATTCGAAAGAAATCACTTCTAATGCCGCAGATGTGCAAGATGTTGATGATAATTCTGATGTTGATACTGAAGAAATTCCTGAATTGGTTGGAGGTGTTTCAGATGTTGGTGAAGAGGAACCTTCTGAAGTCATAGATGAAGAAATTGCAACTGAAAAGCTTGAAGACGCCTCTGATTCAACTGGATTGATTCCCAGTGCTGAAAATGTGAAAGACACTGACGATATCTTAGAAGTTGACGCAGAGGTGAATGAAGTTGAAACAGTTGAAGACATTTCAGAAGTTACAAATGAGGAAACTTCTGATGTGCCAGAAGTCATAGATGAGGAAAAGGTTGAAAAGTCTGATGATATCTTTCATTTTGCAGAGGACAAACCAACTGAATTGATTTCTGATGCTCCAGATGTAACAGAAGACATTGAAATCTCAATCTCTGCAGTTTCAGAGGATAATGAAACAATTCAAGAAGCTGATATGACAGATGTCAAAGATGAGGAAATGGAAGCTGAAAAGGTTGATGAAATCTCCTATTTTGTAGAGGATAAATCAACTGAAATTACTTCTGATGCTACAGATGTGAAAGAAGACACTGATGGCTTTACAGTTACAGAGGAGAAAGGAACAATTGAAAGCCTTCAAGAAGCAGCAATGAAAATGTCGGGAAATGCAGATGATGAAATCCCCAATGTCACAGAGATGGTTGAAGAACCTGATACTTCTGATGTTATGGATGAGCTAGACGAACCTGAAAAAGATGAAGATGTAATCAGTGTCACCAATGAAAGGGTTACAACTGCACAAGATGTCATATTTTCAAAGGAAAAAATGGGAGCAGCAGAACTGGATGATCATGACAAACTCAGGGCTAAGGATGATTCAGAAGTGGATCACATGGAGAAGGAAATTGCAGATGCTGAAAATGACCTTCAGAATGAGATAGATAAAGATGAGTTTAAGGTTGAAGATGCATCTCATCAAACTATTTTGGGAAGCACTGCTGCTGAAGAAGACCAAGATGATGATGATGATGATGAAGAACCTGTCCTTCTTACTGTCAAACATGAGCTCACAGACGGTGATGATGAAAATAATAATAACAACGACAGAAAGAGAGATGCCAGAACTAAAGGTCTGATCAATAGAAAAACACCAAAGAGCCATTCCACTGAAACTGATGAACAAAAGGCGCACAAGGATCTTCATAAAGAGTCTGCTAAAGGTATTGAAATTTTTTGTGTATTTTTTTTAATAGGGAAAATTGATAGTTCAGCAAACAGATGACCAAGGGACAATTCACGCAAATTGAAAATTCTGCCATGATTTACTCACCCTTGAATTGTTCCAAAACAGTTTGCGTAATTCTGTCGAACTCAAAATAAGATATTTTGAAGAAGTTTGTGAATTTAAAAATCATTGATGTCTATAGTAGGAAACACGAATACTGGACATCAGTGGTTACACGTTTTCAACATTCTTAAGAATATTTTGTGTTCAACAGTAGAAAGAAAATCATACAGGTTTGGAACAAGTCAAGGATAAGTAAATCATGGAAGAATTTACATTTTTGGGTAAGCTACCAGATTAAATAACAAATTATACTCATTATGAAGAAATTAATTGCTGTAATACATTTGTATGTTTTAAAAATCGGTAACTTTTTTACATTTAAAAAATAAAATCTAGTTTGCAAGGTTTTAACACATAGCTAACATCCTAAAATTATGTTACTGATAATTGCAGCTTAAACAATAAATATGTATTGATTGATGTTAAAGAGTATTTGGTCCAATAATTTGTCCAAGAGCAACTTTTTGAAGTTATTTTGTAATTCAGTAGTTCAAAACATTGCAACTATAATAAATTATATGAAAAAAGTCATGGCATCAAATGTTATGTCTTGAAAATATTTTAATAACTGAATCAACAATATTTATTGAAACAAACAAGAAAAAAAGTTCTGCTTGTACAAACTACTCATTTAAAATGAGATGAAACAACACAGTTCTTGAGATTTTCAGGTTCACCTTAATTTATTATGTTATGCTATCAATTTAACTTTAATTTGTGTTGGGACAACATGAATGAATTGTGTGAAACCCTGCATTTTTTTACTGTGTACAAAGTTTAACTTAATATTTGTAGCCAGTTTGATTCAAGTTGAGATGACAAGAAACGTTTATTTGATTCAACAAACAATTAGGGCAGCAATGTTTTTTTACACTGAGTTTTTTTTTTTTTTTTTGACAACAAATAAATATTGTATGTTAACTTGTTAATCAAACACAGCGGTTGTATTCTATAATCTGTATATCAAAGTCATTTTGCCCGTTTTATCTTGGCATAAATTCAGAAGAACACTTATCACTGTTCTCTTTTGGACGGGGAAGAACAACAAAGATAAGGATAAATTGTCATTTACTATTGCTTTTTCTTCACCCTTTTTCTGCGAAGAGATGATTAAAAGTGGAGCAAAACAGCCGGAGGATTCTCTAATGGACTCTACTGCTGTAAAATTATATATATATATATATATATATATATATATATATATATATATATATATATATATATATATATATATACATACAGTACATACACACATACATACATACATACATACATACATACATACATACATACATACACACATACATACATACACACATACATATATATATATATATATATATATATATATATATATATATATATATATATATATATGTATGTATGTATGTATGTATAAATACACTATTGCAAGCTATTTGGTGTTTAGTTACACAATGTCAGGATTTTAGCCTCCTATGTCATTATTGTTTTCTTTTTTAAAGAAAAAATTTTCTTTATTCTACAGAAAATGTGTTTGTTTTAAGTGCAATTTTATTTCTTTTTTATGAGAATTATTTTTTTTTTATCTTAAACTTGTGTTTTGGAGACAATGACGGAAATATGACTAACTACTGTATAATATTGCAATGCCATTTGTATTGCATTAACTATCAAAATGGTTACATTGAGAGAATGAACGAATGCTTTAATCCATTATACATTATTAATGTCATTTTACCATCTAACACAATGACATGGCTGTCAACGAAGAAGCTGCTTACAAGTGTCATTTATGTTAAATTAACACACTCACGGTACTCTAATTCATGCACTAATTCCTAGTGTTCATTATGGATGTTAAGACATGTAACTCTCATTTAACATTTACTCATGATTTCAGTTCTTGAGCAAGTGAAAGAAGCCAAAGAGAAAAAAGCTAGAGAGGAGATATACAAAATCATTCAAGGTGAATGGTTTATTGTTTTCTTCCATTCTTGCACACTATAAATTATAGCGTTTGTGCAGAATGAAAGCTGAAATCCAAGAGAAAAATGAAAACTGTGATGCATTGTCTTTTCTGCTTTTACAGAAATGAGGGAGGAGAAGGCTGAAGGTGTGGAGGAAGAGATCGTGTTACAACAGATAAACATAACAGTAGAAAAGGTCAAGAAAGAAGAAACTGTCAAAAAGGAGGAAAAGGCTAAAAGAAAAGAAAAGGCTCATAAACCAAAGGGCAAGTCTGATAAAATAATACAGAGCTTAAATTGTCGTATTGCTTTTAAATAGAAAGCTGTACATTTACATTTAGATTGCATGCAAAATCTCTTTCTAAGCTCGAAAGTGGTATTCACCTCAGACCTTTTACATGTTAAACCCTGCACCTCGGAAAAATAAAAAAATAATAATAATCTAGGATGACGATATGGAAAACACAAAATGAGCCCCCCTTTTTAAAAGGAAAATTTGCTCAGGGTTTATTTTAATGAGTCATTATTTAATATGCAGTTTAATTATGAGATTAAGTCATATAATGCTTATTAACTTTAGTTTTTTATTTTATTTCTATTTTTGGATTATTATAAAACTATGGTGCGACAGATTAGGCTTTGGCAGGTGAAAATAGTTCATAAAAGTAAATTAATAACCATAATGAGTGAGAAACTGTGTGTGTGTATGTATATATATATATATATATAAATATATATATAAAGATGATGCTGTAAAGAAGGTGGCCAAAACTGAAGGTAAAAAAAAGGGAAAACAATAAAAGATTCATAGTATTGGTTATAATTTTTGCATGTAAGCTACTAACTAACAGTAACCAAATGGTAACCTGAAGATTCAGTGTTAGTAGCTTTGTATGCATTTTATGTACTGTATGCAGTCAATCACCATTAACTGCATTAATATCTGTTGTATCACAGATGCAAAGATTGCCAAAGACAAACCTAAAGCAGTCCCAGTAAAGCAAGGTATGTAACTTGATAAGCGAACTTCTGATAAAGTCTCAATTAAACGGGAATACATGTTAATGTCTATTTGCAGAGGATGAAGTAGCCAAGAAAGAAACCAAACCAGCACCATCTAAGAAAGGTATTGTGTTATATATTGTGAGCAAATCCATAACTGTGTCATGTACACTATCTTTTTAAAGTTTTAGAGCAATGCAATGTTTTTCTACTATTTTCTACTTCATGTATTAAATCGCCCAAAAGTGACTGTTGTCTTATCCTAAGTTTAGAGATTTAATTAAAAATTAAATCAGTTCTTTTGACAGAATATTTCCACAAAATATTAAGCACCACAATTGTTCTCAGCTATACTACAAGTATAATATGATAATCTGAAAAGTAATATCAGGATGATTTCTTATGGACATTATGATGAATATATTAGTGTCTCAGGAGTAAAATACATTTTTAAATACATAAAAACAAAATGAAAAAGATCTGCTTGCTTCATGTTTGTCACTCTGCTGCTTACCTGACACAGTCGAGGCGGAGATTAAGGCATACTGACAGATTGACAGGCAAGTGGGAACGGTGGGCAGGGAGAACTAGCATTAAAGGCACAGGCGAAAAAACAGATGTGTTTAGAGCAGAAAATTCCAATATTCTGAAAGGAATCAAAAATAATCTGAACTGTGTTTTAGGCTGAAATTTTACAGACACATTCTGGAGACACAAAAGACATATCTTAAATCTTGAAAAGGGGTAAAATAAGTGCTCTTTAAAAATTGCTGAAAGTTGTTGTTTTAATTATTATTCACAAATTTTCAGAGGCCAAAATTACAAAAGAAGTGGCTAAACCAGCTCGTTCAAAGAAAATTATCACAGTGCATGTACAGTATAATGTCTTATTTCCATTTTAGATAGGTTATGTAATTAAGATGCTGCAGTGATGGCAATGTTTAGACTTTCACTTAAAGGCCTTAATCCTTGTAATGTTTACATTTGCTTTTTTGCAGAGGCTAAAATTGTGAAGGAGAAACCCAAAGCACATCCTGCAAAGAAAGGTAACTGTCTTATTGACTCACATTTTTGCAGATTTTAGCAATAGTTTAATTTAAATTTAATTACAATATAATTTCAATGTCATTTAATTTTACTGTTAGAAATGCATTTTAAAGAATAGTAAGTAAATATGTGGTTTTATAGAATATTTGAGATTTAATGTTCCTTTAGAATATTTTTTGGGGGAAACTATTGCTTTAAGTCATCTCTTTTATAGTTTAGTTTAGCATTGTATTTTATAAAGGAGTAGTAGTTTGCTCAGACATCAATATAACATTTACTTGTTTATTATTTCTTTTTTTAGAAAAAGCTAAAGATATTAAGGAAAAGGCAAAATCTGGTCAAAAAGAAAAAGGTGTGCAATTCCTGTCAAAAATAATAAAGTAATTAATTAAATAATTCAAGTAATCATGCAAAGTTATAAGATTTGTTTTGCAATTTGTTTTGTTTAGTTGCTGAGGCTGTCAAGGAAAAATCGAAGCCAGTAAAGAAAGGTAGTTGGTTTTGCGTAATTTCTGTTTGACGTATTGTGTAAATTGACAAATTAAATTAATTCAGATTAAATATATATATATATATTTTTAGAAGTATTACATCAGTGATTTAAAAATATTACTTATTGTAACTCTTACATAGCCAGCACACACATAAAAAGTATAATAGCATACTGTAATAGTCCATTATTGTGATTTATGCTTTGAAAAATGTAGCAATAAAAGTACATAATTGTCATTCTATGTAGAAGATGAATTCAAAGATAAGCCATCAGCTCCTTCTTTCAGGTTCAGGATTGGAGTAACATGCTTTTACTGTAAAATTGAAAATGCAAAGATAGATTGTCTTTCTTTGTTTTGTTTCATAATGTTTTGTTTGATTATTTTCCTTTTTTTTTTTTTACTTTCTTTTTTACAGAAGCTGAAAAAATTGATGCCAAAGTCAAACCAGCAGCAGAAAAGAAAGGTGCCCCGATTTAGACAACTATGAACTTATTGGAAACCTGTGGCCTTTTAGTATTAGCATTTAATCTTGTCTTGTCTTTAAATATATATTTGTTTTCTTATTTTTAGTGGATGAAGCCCCCAAAGAGAAACCTAAAGTGAAGAAAGGTATCACATTTTACACTCACAACTGTGTGTGTAAACAACATGCTTGTGCTTTAAACAACATTTTCATCAACACGATTTAAAAAGTGTGCAAACTAATTAAAGTTAATTAATCAGTTATTTATATTAAACAATTATTAATTATATAGAGTTATAATTTCTTCATCACAGAGGCTGAAGTAATCAAAAAGATTAAACTAGAGCCTGAGAGGAAAGGTATGAATTATAAATCAATTATCATTATGTATCAGTTCACATTGTATTATCCCTCATTGAGACTGTTATTATTATTAATTGCTATAACTATATATTTATCTGAATTTCAACTGAACTTAGTTGTTGAACTCAATTTTACTTTTTAGTATTAACTAACTTTCATTTCCAGTTAACAAGCCTTTAATTTTTTTCTCATATTTTCATCAAAATGGAGAAGCTAAAACTCCCAAGGCCAAAATTGAACCAGCTGGTTTGAAGAAAGGTATGGTGGATTTGCAGTAACCCAGCATTTCATTTAATATGCATGGCATGCAATCATAAAGCGAAAAAAGTAATTTATACCATCTAAAATGTCATTGTGTAACAATAGTGGATCCACCAAAAGTCATTTGAGACTTATTTAGAACAAAGATTATTTTATGACAAAATAAAAGACTATTTAAAGATCAGTATACCTTATAATCATTTAAAATGATTTTAAAAACTGTATATGCATGTACATTATTGCATTTATGATCATTTTAGATGCTGAAGCTGCTAAGGAGAAAGCAAAACCTGCTCCAGTCAAGAAAGGTGCCATTTGATTTAGTTTGAATTGCATAGTGTATTTTTTGCAATGTTTATGTGAGGCTAACTGGTAACATTCATTGATTTACAGGGCCTGAGGTTTCCAGAGAAAAAGCCAAACCAGAGCCCGCAAAAAAAGGTCAGCCGTTTGAATTGTTTTTATTCTTCAGTGTTAATTTATTGTAGTGTTTTTTTCACATGCAGATAACATATTGAATTTTTCTCAGAGCTTGAAGCGGTCAAAGAGAAAGCAAAACCAGCACCAGCTAAAAAAGGTACAGCACTCACACTCTTTATTTGAAAACATTGTTAATTCTGTGCAGTTTAATTAGCGTGCCTTGTATCATTCAAAAGATGAAGTCAAAGAGAAAGAAAAACCAGCTCCTGTAAAGAAAGGTAGGACACTTTGTTCAGATTAAATGTGAGTTTTGGAAATAGAAAAGTATTATAAAAACACTTAGTAAAGTACAATTTTCTCTCTTGGGTTTTTAAAAGCTGAAGAAATTAAAAAGGCAAAAGCAGCTCCTTCAAGGAAAGGTACTGATGTTTCTTAAACTCAAAAATAAAATTGATACTGTTATTCATTTATTTTCTTTTTGGCGTAGTCCCTTTATTCATCTGGGGTTGCCACAGCGGAATGAACCCCCAACTTATCCAGGTTGTGTTTTACAAAGAGGATGCCCTTTCAGCCGCAACCCAGTACTGGGAAACATCCTCACACACACATACAGTACACTACGGCCAATTTAGTTTATTCAATTCACCTATAGCTCATGTCTTTGGAGCTTAGGGGAAACCGGAGCACCCGGATGAAAACCACGCCGACACGACTAGAACATGCAAACTCCAAAATTGATAAGGAATACATGAAATTACATTTTTAATACATATTTCTACACGAATGAGATCTAGTTAATTGAATTTTATGGTGTTTAAAAAAAAAAAAAAAACGATGCAGATTTCCCAGTGATGGGTTGCATCTGGAAGGGCATCCGCTGCGTAAAAACGTGTTGGATAAGTTGGCTGTTCATTCCGCTGTGGCGACCCCAGATTAATAAAGGGACTAAGCTGAAAAGAAAATGAATGAATGATGTGGATTATTATAGGAGTTTCAGAATATTTTCCATTACTGCAGCATGCACTTGTTTGTTTGCTGTACTGTACATATAAAATGGTTGACTTGATTTTAGAGCCTGACATTTTTAAAGAGCAGAATCTGTAACACAAGGCATAAACATTTAATTTTAAAGTCCATTTTAATTATATTGTTTTTCTTTTATATTGTTACTAGAACTATGTTAATCTGCTTTGGCACAATTTACATTGTGAAAAGCGCTATATAAAAAAACAGCTATATAAAAAAAACATGGATTGAATTGAATTTAATTGTTTTTAATTCTATTGGTTTTTTAGAAGCTGTAAAGGAAAAACCCAAACCTGTTTCCGAAAAGAAAGGTGTTGTAATACCTAACAAGTGTTTCATGCTTTGAAATAGTAATTGTATGCATTTTGATTTAAGTTATGTTGTGCGTGCGTGCGTGCGTGCGTGCGTGCGTGCGTGCGTGCGTGCGTGCGTGTGTGTGTGTGTGTGCGTTTCTCAAAAAAGCTTATAAATCCCACAGGATGATTTTAATCAGAGAGTAAAGCTGTACACAGTCTCCTGTGATGGTTGGGTTTAGGGGTAGGGTAGGGTGAGGGCAGTACAACATTTAGTTTGAACAGTATAAAATGAATGGAAACCTATGTAATGTACTCACCTTTCACAAAAACAAGTGTGTGTGTGGGGGTGTGTGTGCATGGGTGTTTTAATGTTTCTTTTATATTATATCTCAGAAACAGAGGTTGCCTAAAAGTTAAATTAGCATGGCAATCTGGGGAAAATGTTAGTGATGAATAAAAATTTAAATGATATTGTTTGCCATAACAGTTATATAACAACACTTTTCATTAATATTATTTTATTAATATTTAATGCTGTCTAAACAAAGCATAATCTTCTAACATTTGTTTTTCTGAACATTTTGCAGAACCTGCTGTTGCAGTTGAAAAAGCCAAGCCAAAATCTACAAAGAAAGGTACAAATATAATTTTAAAAAGCAGTTATAGTTACTAGCATCATTATATTTGTGTGCAAATACATTTGTAACAAAGATGTAATTTTATGTAGAAATAACTGTTGCAATTGATGTCAATGGTAAGCTTATACTGATGCTTTTTTTTTTCGACCTTCACAATGTTAGAAGCTGAAGTCGAGGAAAAAGTGAAACCTGCTCCTGAGAAGAAAGGTATTGATTTACAATAATAGTAAATAAAATCCAAAAGAAAGCCATTTACAGTAATCATTCTTCTTATTATTTTAGAAGCTGAAGTCATCATGGTGAAAACTAAACCAGTTCTTAAAAAGAAAGGTAATGCACAGTATGTGTTTTAAACATTTTCATCAACAACATTAAAAATGTGTGCAAAAAAAATTTGCTTTTATAATTTTTTCATCACAGAGGCTGAAGTAATCAAAGAGGTTAAACCAGCCCTTGAGAAGAAAGGTATGAATTACGAATAATTTATCTTGTAAATTTGTATTTTATTAACCCTCATAACTAGAGCCAGACAGAATCTGAGGACATTTTTTGCTGTTTCTGCGAATAATTAAAAAAAAAAAAAACTGCGGATTTATGTGGAATAGTTTTAAGAGTATCATAACTAAAAACTTAATATATGAAATAAAATATATATATATTTTTACTTTTATTTAATGTTTACAATGCAAATACAAAATTAGATCCACTTATTTGGTAAACAAAGCAATAAGTCTCTTATATAATATCTCTACTAAAAGACTCAAATATTACTTTACAAACTGTTTTGAAAATAAATAATATGAACGTTTTATTATTGTTATTATTAAAATTACAATAATATTAGTGGAATTAATTTAAAAACTGACATTTAAATTGACACACATTTACACAAGTAAATTCAATGATGGGCTAAAAAACTCATAACTCTTTCAGGCTGTTTTTTGTTGTAATTAATTCATGTTCTTAAATATTTACTTAATAATTGTTATTGATTATTGTTACAATATATTTATCTGAATTTTAACTAAACATGATAAAATATTTAATGACAAATGAATTAAAGAATTCGCATTGATGCAATTTCAGAGGCTGAAGTCATCAAGGAGAAAGTTAAACCAGCTCCTGTAAAGAAAGGTATGGATAACAATCCAATCTTCAAATCCTTTGCTTTTCACCGTATAAAGCCCAATCATTACATAAGTTAAAACTATTTTATAGAGCCTGAAGTTGTTAAAGAAAAGGAACCTGAACCAAAACCCAAAAGAGGTTAACACTTGAACCTTTAAAATGGCTCACTGAACTTTTGCAGTACATATTTTATCATATTTCATTTTGCTTCACTTTTATTGTACCTTTTTCTTTTGTAGAGCCAGAAATTATTAAGGAGAAATCAGCACCACCAAAGAAAGGTATTGGTCAACACTGGGAATTCTGTCTAGATTACAATTAATCATCTCATTGTTTTAATCATATTTATCTTGTACCCTCTTACAGTTGAGGTTCCAAAACAAAAGGCTCCTGAAAAGAAAGGTGTATATACGTCTTTTTGACAAAAAGTAGTTTTTTTTATCTAAATAATTTATGATTGTGAATAATACCAAATGTAAACCGTAATTAAAATATGTATTTTATTTAATTGCTGTTTTCCAGCACCTGAAATAACCAAAGAAAAACCAAAGCCAGCACCAAAGAAAGGTAGCTAATTTGTATTAAAAAACACAAACATTTATTTTTATACAGATAATAATTTGTTAAATATTTGTATAAACATTTTTAGAGGCTGAAGCTGTAAAAGAGAAAGCTAAACCAGAGAAGAAAGGTAAGAGTTACCTTGGCACTTCAATTATTATTATTATCACAATGCAAAAACTATGTCAGACGTTTACTTTCTGTGTATTTTATAATATGTTTAGAGGCTGAAGCCGTAAAGGAGAAAACGAAACCAGCCCCTGAGAAAGGTAAGAGTTACCGCAATGAATTAATTAAAATATTCTCTTTCATAGTTTTAAATTTTACCAAATTATATCCCAGTAATTTGTTGTTAATCTCTAAATGCTATTGTTTTTCAGAGACTGAAATAATCAAGGATAAAATTAAAGCAGCTCCTGTGAAGAAAGGTATGATTGTGAATAAGATATCTATTTATCTTGATTAGTTTGTAATTGTCATAGCCCCTGAGAAAAAAATGGGTTTATGTTATTTTATCTAGATGGGTTTTAATAAATATATATATAAATAAATAAAACAAAACTTGCACAATGAACACACTGTGGTTTTAGAAGTTGAAGTCAAGAAGGAAGCAAAACCAGCTCCTGTAAAGAAAGGTATTGATGACAAAATAATTCTTAAAAAATAATGTTGTGGCTTGTTTCTACAAATACTTTTTTACACTTTTCAGAAACTGAAGTCATCAAAGAAAAAGAAAAACCAGCTCCTGAGAAGAAAGGTTTGGGTTGCTATGAGTTTGAGTTACTAAATATATATTTAATACACATTGATACATATTATCACAATGTATAAAATATGTCAGAAGTTTACTCTTGTATATTATAATGCATTTAGAGGCTGAAGCTGTAAAGGAGAAAACGAAACCAACCTCTGAGAAGAAAGGTGAAATTTAACATATTTAATTAATTATAGTTTTCTTTCTTTGTTCATTTTTCTTAGTTTTACATTTTAGCAAATCAAATTGCATTAATCTGCTTTAAATCTGTAAATGTTATTATTTTTCAGAGGCTGAAATAATTAAGGAGAAAGTTAAAGCAGCTCCTGTGAAGAAAGGTATGATTTTGAATAAGATGCGCTGTATTGATCTCCATTATATTTTAATTGTAATGGCCTCTGATATAAGAGGTGGGTTTTTGTTATTTTATCTATAATAAATATATAACACAATGAACACATTGCTGTTTCAGAAGTTGAAGTCAAGGAGGAAGCAAAACCAGCTCCTGTAAAAAAAGGTATTGATGACAAAATAATTCTCTTATTAAAATCATTACCTTTTGTGTTTTGACTTGTTTCTACAAATACTTTTCACATATTTCAGAAACTGAAGTCATCAAAGAAAAAGAAAAAACAGCTCCTGAGAAGAAAGGTTTGGGCTGCTATGAGTTTGAGTTACTAAATATATATTTAATACACATTGATACATATTATCACAATGTATAAAATATGTCAGAAGTTTACTCTTGTGTATTATAATGCGTTTAGAGGCTGAAGCTGTAAAGGAGAAAACGAAACCAACCCCTGAGAAGAAAGGTGAGATTTAACATAGTTAATTAATTATAGTATTCTTTCTTTGTTCATTTTTCTTTTTTAGCAAATGGAATTGCATTAATCTGCAATTGAGTTGTTAAATATATATTTAATACATATGAATACCTCAAAATATTTGATTTAATTGTCGTTTCAGAGGCTGAAGTCATCAAGGAGATAGTTAAACAAGCTCCTGTGAAGAAAGGCAAGAGTTACTTTAACAGTTTAATTAATATTATTATCATCATGCAAAAATGATGTCAGAACTTTAATTTCTGTGAATTATAATACGTTTAGAGGCTGAACCTGTAAAGGAGATAACTAAACCAGCCCCTGAGAAGAAAGGTTAGAGTTACCATAATTAATTGACTTTTCTTTATTCATTTTTCTTGGTTTTAAATGTTACCAAATCAAATCCCATTTGTCTGCTTGTAATATCTGAATGTTATTGTTTTTCAGAGGCTGAAATAATCAAGGAGAAAGTTAAAGCAGCACCTCTGAAGAAAGGTATGATTGTGAATAAGATGTTCTCTATTTAGTTACATTATTTTGCAATTGCAAAAGGCTCTGAGAAAATAAGAGAGATTATGTTATTTTAGATAGCTTTAATAAATATATACAAACAAAATGTACACGATCAATGCACTTGTGTTTCAGAAGTCAAGGAGAAAGCAAAACCAGCTCCTGTAAAGAAAGGTATTGATGACAAAATACTTTTCTCATTAAAATCATTTCCTTTTGTGTTTTGTCTTGTTTCTACAAATACTTTTCACACATTTTCAGAAGCTGAAGTCATCAAACAAAAAGCCAAACCAGCTCCTGAGAAGAAAGGTTTGAGCTGCTTGTGTTACTAAATATACATTTAATATATATTTAAACCTCAAATATAATTTTTTATACAATATTTATATTATTGCCATTTTTAGAGGCCAAAGTCATCAAGGAGAAAGTTAAACCGGCTCCTGTAAAGATAGGCAAGTGTTACTTTAACAGTTTAATTAGTATTATTATCATACTGCAAAAATGATATCAGAAGTTTACTTTCTGTGTATTATAATGTTTAGAGGCTAAACCTGTAAAGGAGATAACTAAACCAGCCCCTGAGAAGAAAGGTAAGACTTATTTTTTAAATTTCCAAATCAAATCCCATTAATCTGCTTTAAATTTGTAAATGCTACTGTTTTTCAGAGGCTGAAATAATCAAGGAGAAGGTCAAATCAGCTCCTGTGAAGAAAGGTATGATTGTGAATAAGATGTTCTCTATTTGGTGACAATATATTGTAATTGTTATGGTCCCTGAGAAAACATTTGGGTTCATGTTATTTTATATAAATTTACAGTATATGAATATATAAAACTATAATAAATGTATAAAATATATAAAACAAAACTTACACAATGAACACACTGGGGTTTCAGAAGTTGAAGTCAAGGAGGAAGCAAAACCAGCTCCTGAAAAGAAAGGTTTGAGCTACTTTGAGTTTGAGTTACTTGATATAAGATTGATTTAATTCTCAAAATAATTTATATATTGCCATTTCAGAGGCTGAAGTCATCAAGGAGAAAGTTAAACCTGCTCCTGTGAGGAAAGGTATTGATGTTAATAAAAGTGTTGGTATGATTATGTATCACATGAATAAGTATTATTTAATGATGAATTAGAATAATAATTCATTATTCATCACATGGTATATATGATTGGTATTATGATATGATGATTGGTATTATTGATATATTTTACCAGTCAGGCAGCCTATTCATATAAAATAAAATAAAAATTCCAAAGGATGTTTCTAGATTTTTGCTGGGCTCGTTTATAATAATATCCTCTTTTGTACTGTTTTATTGCATAATCATATTACATTTATTTTTCAGATGATAAATGATTTGATGTTTTTTGTATTACTTTCAGAAGCTGAAGAAATAAAGGAAAAAGCTGAAGCAGTTTATGAGAAAAAAGGTTTGATTTGATATGTTGTATTGAGATGATAGATAGACAGACAGACAGACAGACAGACAGACAGACAGACAGACAGACAGACAGACAGACAGACAGACAGACAGACAGACAGACAGACAGACAGACAGACAGACAGATAGATAGATAGATAGATAGATAGATAGATAGATAGATAGATAGATAGATAGATAGATAGATAGATAAAACACTTTAGTTATTTTTTTTAATGTTTTCAAATTAATTTATTTAAAAAGGCATTAGTTTATATTCTAGAGGATTAAACAAATCTGATGTAAGACAATTAAAAAAATTGTCTTTATTTATGCAGTGCAGACTAAAATAGACTTGCTTTATCTTAATACTATTTTATATTATGATCTATTATATTATGATCTATTATATATTATAATTATGATGAAGTGATTAATGAGAAAGTTAAACCAGAAGAAAGGTATGAGTTTATCTTAGCTTCATGAGTGATTTCTGTTTATGTAAGGACAAATTCAGACATTCATGTACAGTGCATTCTCTAAATATATTTAATTTATTGCTTTTTCAGAGGCTGAAGTAGCCAAGGAGATAGTTAAACCAACTCCTTTAAAGAAGGGTATGGATATCAACCACCTTTTCTGCATTTGCTTCCATTTTCACTTGAATAAATCTATTTTAAACCTTTTTATAGAGCCCGAAGTTGTGAAGGAAAAGGCTCCTGAATCAAAACCCCAAAAAGGTGAGATGTTTCCTCATTGTCTTTTTTTTTTTCATCAAAATATTATTCCTTATCTTAACATATTTACAATATCACCATTATAGAGGCTGAAATTATCAAAGAGAAAGTTAAACCTGCACCTGTAAAGAAAGGTATGGATACCAGTCAAATCTTGCTGCATTTGGAGTCATTTTCGCACAAATCAATCTATTTTAAACCTGTTTACAGAGCCTGAAGTTGCAAAAGTACCAAAACCCAAAAAAGGTGGGATGTTTCACCTCTGTCCTTCATTTTAATTTTCTTTTTATATCAAAATATTATTTAACGAATCAACAATATTAATGTTATAGAGGCTGAACTCGCCAAAGAGAAAGTTAAACCTGCACCTGTAAAGAAAGGTATGGATGTCAAGGAATTTATGTATACACATTTATTACAAAGAAAGGTATTAATTTTACATATTTTCAAACACAGTTTTTTTTTGTCTGCAAAAAAAAAAAAAAAAACGTTGAAATAAGAAATATCTGTTTACACTCAAATATATATATTTTTACTGTTTGTTCAAAAAATGTATTTTAAATGAGCTGAAACTACACAGTTCTTTAGATTATTTTGGGACAGCTTAATTGTATTATGTTCAATCCACTTAAATTTAATTTAACTTAATTGAGTTGGGACAACACAAATGAATTATGTTGAATCCTGCATATTTTACAATGTAGTTTTTATGTTTTATATGAACACTTTTACTTGAGAATGCATTGTTAGAAGTCAAATATTTGACACTGTTATTACGGGTTTTAACATTTATCGGTAACATTTTACAATAAGGTTGTATTAGTTAATGTTGGTTATTCCATGTACTAACATGAACAAACAATGAATGATACATTTATTTTATTTCAGTATTTGTTGATGTTAGTTAATGAAAATGCAGTCGTTCATTGTTAGTTTATGTTAACTCAGTGTATTTAGTAATGTTTACAGGCATGAGTTTGGATGTTAATAATGCCTTAGTAAATGGTGAATTATGATTGATAAATGCTGTGCAAGTACTGCTCATAATTATTTTTGTTAGTAAATCCATAAACTAATGAAACCTTGTTATAAAGTGTGACCCATTTATCTTTAAACTCTTCTGATTTGCAGAAGAAAAACCTAAGGCAGCACCAAAGAAAGGTACAGTATGCATCTTATTGTTAGTTTAATGACTATTCTTGTTGTAAGATTTTAATATTTTGGACATATTCTAACATTTCAGAGGCTGAAGCTATTAAGGAGAAACGTACACCAGCTCCTGAAAAGAAAGGTAGGAGCTATTGATGTGTGTGAAAATATATTCCATTGCTAATTTTATCATTAATAAATTATATTATAAAATTAAAAAATACTGTTAAATGTTTTATATTTTTAATTCTTTAGTGGTAGAAGTCATCAAGGAGAAAGTCAAACCAGCCCCTGAGAAAAAAGGTAGAAGTTATCATTACAAGTGCCTTTATCAAGAATATTTTTTCTCATTAAAAATTTATAATTCATAAATACTTTATTATATTTTCTTTTGCAGCGGTTCTCAAGGAGAAAGTTAGACCTGCTCCTGAAAAGAAAGGTAGGGGTGTCAATGAAATAAACCTGAATTGCTGATTTTCTTAATGCAGTGATGATTTATCACATGAATGCTGTTTTATAGAGCCTGAAGTTGCTAAAGAAAAGGCTCCTGAACCAAAACCCCAAAAAGGGGATTTCTTTTTTCAGCACACATTTTGTGTGGTTTATATACTGATACTATTAAAAATGTGTTGCTTGACATGATGAGACTGCATTATTCTTCTTTTTTCTGTTTTGTAGAGGTTGAAGTCATCAAAGAGAAAGCTAAACCAGCCCTTAAGAAGAAAGGTTTGATTTACTGTGTTAATTATCAAATCAGTGCCAATACTCATATAACCTTTAAATGTTATAATCAATTACAATCATCATTTCAGAGCCTAAAGTCAAGGAAAAGGTTCAACCAGCTCCTATAAAGAAAGGTTTGAATTTAATTAAATAATCTATAAGAACTGATACTTACATGAAGTACTAGGATTTGTTAGCAAACAAACCATATATTTTTTTTTTTAACAGAGCCAGAGCTTCCCAAAGAAAAGGTGCCTGAACCAACACCAGAACCTGAGAGAGGTATCATTTTTGTGTTTTTACAATACATTTTTATTTCACTGATGTCATATCCTATATCAAAGATGAGACTTAAGTTATATATATATATATATAGAAAGCATTCTTTTATGTCCTATAGAATCAAAGATTTTGGCTTTTGTTATGAATATGTTAGCTTTAAGATGTCTCTCATTTCTGCCAATATGTTAAATCTGTTTTTATGACATATTTATGTAAATTAATAGGTGCTTATTCTGACCTATTAAATATATAAAATATACTTTTATGGTGGCGACACGGAGGCGCAGTAGGTAGTGCTGTTGCCTCACAGCAAGAAGGTCGCTGATTCGAGCCTCGGCTGGGTCAGTTGGCATTTCTGTGTGGAGTTTGCATGTTCTCCCTGCATTTGCGTGGGTTTCCTCCGGGTGCTCCGGTTTCCTCCACAAGTCCAAAGACATGCGGTACAGGTGAATTGGGTAAGCCAAATTGTCCGTAGTGTATGTGTGTTAATGAGAATGGATGGGTGTTTGCCGGTGATGGGTTGCAGCTGGAAAGGCATCGGCTGTGTAAAACATATGCTGGTGACATATGCTGTGGTGACCCCAGATTAATAAAGGGACTTAGCCGAAATGAAAATGAATGAAAACTTTTATGGTTTCATGCTGGATGTCAGACGTTTTTAACTGACATTTGAGGTCCACAACAAATGAGCTTTTTTTTTTATTATAGTACTGTTATTATTATCATCATGGTTTCTGCTTTCTACTATAATTATACTTGTTGTTATGAATGTTGTATCTTTGTATAGCTTCCTTTTGTTTTTATATATTTCAACTCTTACCAACTTACAACTGTACACACACATCACTGTTTTATTTTTGTACTTGATTTTTCTTCTGCAATTTGTATATGTTTGCATAATAATTAAAACAACATATATTTAAAATAAGTTATTGTATAAAATGTTATTATTTTGTAAAATAATAATAATAATAAATGTCTTTCTTACACAAGGGTAAAATGTAGTGATTTGATGGAAGAATTTGATGTGTTGTCAAACTATTTCTGTTATAGAGATGTCTGACAATTTATTTTTTGGAAAATATTTTGCAGAATGCCATTTTAGCTGGTTTACACTTTACTGTTTTGTCTGAAAAAAGGATAAAAAGTAGTAATTTTGATGGAAGGACGTATTGTCAAATTATGTCTGTTATAGATATGTACATTAATTAATTAATTAATTAATTAATTAATTCATTCATTCATTCATTCATTCATTCATTCATTCATTCATTCAGTCATTCATTAATTTTCTTGTCGGCTTAGTCCCTTTATTGATCTGGGGTCGCCACAGCGGAATGAACCGCCAACTCATCCAGAAAGTTTCTACGCAGCAGATGCCCTTCCAGCCGCAACCCATCTCTGGGAAACATCCACACACACACTCATACACTACGGACAATTTAGCCTACCCAATTCACCTGTACCACATGTCTTTGGACTGTGGGGGAAACCGGAGCACCCGGAGGAAACCCACGCGAATGCAGGGAGAACATGCAAACTACTTTATAGATATGTCTGAGAGTTTATTTTTTGGAAAATATTATACAGAATGGCATTTTAGCTGGGTTACACTTTTACTGTTTTGATGCGTGAAGTTCCCATTTTGTCTTTGTTCCATTTATATTGGAAGTTTTGCTCTGAAACTTTGTTTATTTTATCTAATTTCTTTTAGTTGAAGCTCCAAAAGAAAAGGCAAAAGTAATCCCTAGGGAAAAAGGTATAAATAATTAGTATATTAGCTAATATTGCCAATTTATCTTAAACATGGTTATTACAAGTAATGTTTATTGGGGTATATTTGATTTGATATATATAATTATTATCACTGCTGCTATTGTCAAGTTCTTAACTCTCATGTTTTCCAGTAGCTGAGATTACTAAAGAAAAACCAAAGCCAGCACCAAAGAAAGGTAATTTCTTTAATTTATTCATAAGAATAACACCAGTCCTGTACTGTAAAATATAACTGTTAACATTATAATGTATAAGAAATAATATATAGAAAAATAAGTCTGTCAAATAACAGAAAATGCACTAGCAGTTTATTTATATAAGGTTTTTGTAGCGTAATATACAACACCAGCCAAACAAATGGCACTTTAAACTATTAAAAATGTAAGTAGAAGTAACTTTTTTCAAACTTTTTAAGGTTAAAAAGTTTTGGAAGAAAGATTAAGGGCCCATAATGCAATTCAAATTCATAAATAAATGGGGAAAAATAAAAACATCAAGCACAAAATATGGAAAACTGCTGATTTTTGTAAATGTTTTACAGTGTAGGTCAGTTTTAAAATCACATTAATAATGCCTCATCAATCATTAATATTGCCTCGTCATTGCAGAGGCTGAAGTCATAAAAGAGAAAGCTAAACCAGCCCCAAAAGATAAAGATTTGATTTACTAGTTTATCTGTTAAAATCATTTGATGTGTGAAAATAATTAAATAGGGTAGATTTCTCTTTCAATTACAAATTTGTTACATTTTAGAGGCTGAAGTAAAGGAGAAAGCTACACCTGCTCCTGTGCACAAAGGTAAGAGGTAATATTAGGATGATATATAATAATAACCTATAATATTCTCTAATAATAGTCTATAAATATTATTATTGCCATTTCAGAGGTTGAAGTGTTCAAGGAGAAAGTTAAACAAGCTCCTGTAAAGAAAGGTATGGATATTATTCATATTCCATTGCTTTTGTTGTTGCCTTTGTAGTAATTAAATTATCACATAAAATAAACCTATTTTACAGAGCCAGAAGTTCCTAAAGAAAAGGCTCCTGAACCAAAACCTAAAAAGAGTGAGATTGTTTTTTTTTATATACAACAACGCAAACAGATAAGACATTTTAATGCATTTTCCCACTTCCAGAATAGATTAGTACTGTTGTCTAATATGTTTTTTTTTATATTTTTCACAATTATAGCTGAAGTCATCAAAGCGAAAGTAAAACCAGCCCCTGAGAAAAAAGGTTTTATTTATTGTTTACAGTTAAAATAACATAAAATGAGTAAAGAAACAATTGTTTAATGCTAAAACGATACAAATATTTTCAGAGGCTGAAGTGAAGGAGAAAATTAAACCAGTCCCTGAGAAGAAAGGTAAGAGTTTTTTTTATTGACATTGTGTTTGTATTAAACATAAAATTAGCATTTTGCTCTCATTAACTTATATTATAACTGTTATGTCATTTATTTTATATTTATTACTGTTACTGTTACGTTATATATTTTTAAAAATAATATTATTGCCATTTCAGAGGCTGAAGTCATAAAGGAGAGAATTAAACCTGCTCCTGTAAAGAAAGGTATGGATATTATTAAAATCAACACAAACACTGTCGATTTTCCACTACTATTTATAACTCAATTATCACATTAATAAAAATCTGTAGAGCCTGAAGTTCCTAAAGAAAAGGCTCCTGAACCAAAACCCAAAAAAGGTTAGTTTTTTTCTGCCTGTTTAATTGCTTTAATACTAAATTATTTGTATTATATCTCTTTTGATGTTTACATATTCACAATTTCAGAACCTGAAGTTATCAAAGAGAAAGTGAAACCAGCGCCAGAGAAGAAAGGTTTGATTATTTTAAAATTGTTATGAAAGTTATGTTTGAAAATGTAATATCATGCTAAAAAGCATTTTTTGTTTAATATTAACACTTTAGAAGTCATAAAAGAGAAACCTAAACCTGAGAAAAAAAAGGTACAGTTAAGGTTAAAAATTAGGCTAAAATTGTTCTCAAATTCAGTGATGATGCTGAAGTTTTTTTTTTTTCTCGTTCTCTAAATATTTTCGTAATTCCAGAAGCTAAAATCAAAAAGACTAAACCAGCTCCTATAAAGAAAGGTATAGATATTCATGAAATCATCTTGTTTTGTGTTTTATTGTATTGTAAGTCATTGGGTATGTTTACATGGACACCAATATTCTGATTTTAATACCATTAAGGCAATACTTTGATTAAGAGTCTACCAAGTAAATATCAACTCCTGATTAATTTAATCTGATTAAGGTCATATTCAAAATAAACAGAAATGGAATTAAGACATGTGGAGTATGCCGATTATAGATGCATTATTGAAAGGCAGTACAGACATATTAAACACCATCATGTAGTATTTTCATTGCATTTTGTGAGAGGATATTCCATACACACAGGGTTATTTGACACTAATCTCTGCACCTACTGAGTCAGTAAAGCACTACAGACACCTACATTGCGAAATGCAGAGGATTTTTTCCCCATATGGTGGAAATTTCCAGCAGTTTACACTCGCATCCAATATCTTGTTTGTCACAGGGGTATTCATGAAATGTTCCTGAATGAAAGTGAAATTGCCAAACTGCAGTTAAAGTTAACAAAGTAAAAATGAAAGACCCGAAATAATATAAAAATCCAGAGAAACTGTGGATAGCGCGATGACGCAATAACGTTAATCGAATTATGTGCTACAACATGTAAAATGTTCATGAAAGGAACCTTCAAAAAGCAGCTCATGTAAACACCTTAATCATATTATTTTCTTATCCAGATTAAGACATATAATTTGATTACTGATGTCCATGAAAATGTAGTCATTGTTTTATAATGACGTATTAAATTCAATAAATAAAATATTTAGAGTCTGATGTTGTAAAAGAAAAAGCGCCCGAACTTGCACCAAAAATAGGTGAGATCACATAGCCAAAATCAGAAAAGCATTTGTTTTAATTGAATTTTATTTGATGTAATTCAACATTTTAAACTTAAGTATTTCCAAAATAATTTCAAATTTGTACAAATTAAAACTACATATTTTGTAGCACCCGAAATAACCAAAGAAAAACCAAAGCCAGCAGCAAAGAAAGGTACTGTGATATATTTGTAAAATAGGATTCCCTTAAAGCAAATTTTTAAAAAAAGCTAATGCTTTGTGTTTTATACTAATATTTTAGTAGCTGAAGTCATCAAAGACAGAACTAAACCAGTCCCTGAGAAGAAAGGTTGGAAATACTTTGTCATGTAATCAAAAAAACATTAAAAAAAATATAGAATCATGCTAAAAAATAATTTTTATTTATGAACTTTAGAGGCTGAAGTCATCAAGGAGAAACCAAAAGCAGTTCCCGAGAAGAAAGGTATTAGTGTAAACCTAATATGTTCACTTTTGCCCAAGTTAAATACCAAATTAAATCTCATATTCAAACTATTTTCATATTTCAGAGGCTAAAGTCATTGAAAAGAAAGTTATACCAGCTCCCGTAAAGAAAGGTATAGATGACAATCAAATCCTCTTGCTGTTTTCTGCTGCATGATGATTATTCATTATAAATTTTTTTATTTTATAGAGCCTGAAGTTGTTAAGGAAAAGGCTCCTGAACTGACAACAAAAAAAGGTGAGATCTTCTTACAGCTAAAATGCGTGATTTTAAACTCAACATTTGTAAAAGTTAAGCATTGAAATTGACATTCTGCCTGACAAATGACTGAATGTTTTACAGCACCTGAGATAACCAAAGAAAAACCGAAGCCAGTACCAAAGAAAGGTATTATGCCACTTTTGATTTGTAAAAATGTCTAGCCATATTTGTGGTGTTAGTTTTAAGACAAAAATAATATAAACATTTTAAATTCTCATTATTTTAGAGGCTGAAGTCATTAAAGAGAAAGCTAAACTAGCTCCTGAAAAGAAAGGTTTGATTTACTCTGTCATCAAATTGCCGTTATTATAATACTGCATTAAGAAAATGTGTCCTTTATGTTAATATTTTTGTAATATTATCATTATAGAGGTTGAAGTCATCAAGGAGAAAGTTAAACCAGCTCCGTTAAAGAAAGGTATAGATGTTAATGAAATCATCTTATAATTATGAAATACGTTTTTACTACTGTTTACATACATGCTGTTTTCTAGAGCCTGAGGTTCATAAGGAAAAAGCACCTGAACCAAAATCAGAACCTACAAAAAAAGGTACCTTGTCAAATTTTAAATAAAGTAAACTAAATTCATATTCAAGATTGTTTTACTTCTTATGCAAATCCTTAATTGTCACTCCTTTTTAGTTGAGGTTCCAAAGGAAAAGGCAAAACCAGTTGCTAAAGAAAAGGGTACTTATCAAATAGACAATTAAAAAAATCACATAACTGTCTATACTTTTGTTTGCTGTTGTAATATTATCCTGTTATCTTTTACAGAACCTGAAATAACCAAAGAAAAGCCAAAACCAGCACCAAAGAAAGGTATTTTTGTGAGATTAATACTGTCATACTGTTATGATAAATTAACTTTAAAGTATTTTAAAGTATTGTTTTGCATTGCCAATAATTCAGAAGCTGTAGTCATCAAAGAAAAAGCTGTACCAGCCATCCTGAAGGAAGGTACTGCATAAGTTAAAATGCGTTTTTTAGAGTTTAATAAAATTATAACATTTACTTAAGGTCAGAAATTTATTTTATTAATTTAAATTTTTATTATATATTTATTTATTTTAATAATGAATTTGTTTTTATTTTATTTTTTATAATTAAATTTAATTTATTCTTGTTTTTTTTTATAAATTTTATTGTATTTTTCTTTTACTTATTTATGTAATTATTTATTTTTATGAGATTTTTTTTATTTAATACTTTTTTATTGACTTAATTAATTAATTGTTTGTTTTATTATTTTTTATATTATTAATAATTTTTTTAAATTTATTTTTTATTTTATTTGTGCTTCTTTAGAGGCTTAAGTTAGAAAACTAAACCAGCTCCTGAGAAGAAATAGTGATTTAGTGTGTAAATTAAAATTAATCCAAACAGAAATCAATATTTTTGGGGTCTTTTGTTTGCATTGAAACTTTTTTATTTTTATTTTATAAACTTTTAATTGGCTGAAGTAAAGAAAGTTAAAGCAGCTCCTGAGAAGAAAGGTAAGACGTAGTAAGATTGTACCTCCAGGTTAAATGACCATGCTTTTATTCTTTCTAAATATTTTCACAATTATCTTTTCAGTGGCTGAAATTAAGGAGAAAGTTAAACCAGCTTCTATAATGAAAGGTATGAATATCAATGAAATTGTTCTGCTTTTCTGACTTTTTTTTAGCAGCATGATACATTACCATTTTTATAAACCGTTTTACAGAGCCTGAAGTTGTGAAACAAAAGACTCCTGAACCGAAACCCAAAAAAGGTAAGATGTTTCGCCACTGTCCATTTTTCAAATACTGGTCAATCATAGCAATCAAAAATAATATAAGAATTTCATATACTTGTTAGCCGTTCAGACATTAAAATTGTACATCCAAGTACATTATTTGACTAAATTCCTCTTTGTTTTGTTTTGAAGAGCCTGAAGTTGTGAAAGAAAAGGCTCCTGAACCTAAACCCAAAAAAGGTGAGATGTTATATATTGGTCAGTGAGATTAAATGTAAGAATTTGCTTGTTAATATTTTTAACTACATTATTTGACAATGAAGTTCCTGTTATTTTGTTTTGAAGAGCCTGAAGTTGCTAAAGAGAAAGCCAAACCAGCACCTCAGAAGAAAGGTTTGGTTAACTGTTATTCATTATATTTTGCTCGTTGTTATCAAAATATTTGGTAACACTTTAGTTTGTCACAGTGCATGCTATTAACTTGCAAAACTTGGTTTATTACTTCCCTATTATTAATATATTAATTGTTCATTAGTACTATAGTAGTTATATATAAGATTATCTTATTATCTACACCCCTAATCCTTCCTAAAACCTAAACCTAAGTTCTACCTTACGAACTATAAGCTTCTAATTAGTAGTATATTTAGGTTATAGGGCTCTATTTTGATGGTCCATGCGCAAAACGCAGGGCGCAAATGCTTTCAGGGCGTGTCAGGACGCGTTTTTGCTAATTTAAGGACGGGAAATCTGTCTTGCGCTTCGGCGCATGGTCTAAAAGGGTTGAGTTTATTTTCTTAATGAGTTATAGGTGTGTTTCAAGAATAAACCAATTAGAGTCTCATCTCCCATTCCCTTTAAGAGTCAGCTGCGTCGCGCCAAGAGTGCATTCGCTATTTACAGGACGCAAAGTAAGTCTAAGTGGAAAAAATGAGCATTTTACAAACAAACAGTTAACTATTGCAACAGAAAACTGTTAAACAGAGCTTCTACTGCGTGAGAATGAGAGATAATGGATCACTTTCACTTTCGCTCTTTGATAGGGAAACCTTTACGCACAGACATCAATTAGTCTATAAATAAATACTTTTGTTTGTTAAGCTCAAATATTCATTTCAAAACTATTTCTAAATTCAGTTCTAATTTCCAGCAAACGAATAAATGAATAATAATAGCAAAATGTGCTCAAAAACCTGAGTTATATCCTAAAACACATGCTGTGCCCCTTATGGTCTAAAACCTGACAGGTGGGCAAATCTAAGCTTGTTTTTAATAAAACAAATATAAATATGGATATAATAAATAATTTTGCTAATAATAATAACATTATACAAAAGCAAATTGTTATGAATGCACTGAAAAAGCCTCCCGAGATGAAGAAGACATAAAAGCAGTGGTTTTTCATATTTATGTAGGCTAGAAAATAATATGTTTTGTAATATTTTAATCCTTTATATTTATATTCTATATCTATTCTTATTATATCCTATATATATCCTTAATATTTAAATTTTTTAATATGTAAAGATATTTGCCTATTGCTCTCTTGTGCGTATTAAGCAGTGCGTAAGCGAGGCGCAACTCTGCGCCGGAGTTTTGACCGGGTTAGTTTTGGTCTAATGAAAACTCTATTAAAGATTCTCAAAATAGCGACGCGCCAGCGGTCCGCCTCAGAACGCCTATGGGTGAAAAAATGAGCGCTAATGCATTTGCTATTTAAACAGCGTAGCGCAACGCCTCAAAACGACTCTTGCGCCAAGCTGAAACTACCAAAAGACTACTGCGTCACGCCTTGCGCCACACTGCGCCGGGTGTATGATAGGGCCCATAGTCTTAATTAATGGTTTGTTAACAGCATGAATTATGACCAATTGTTTTTCTAAACATTTTTATATCACCTTAATAGAAGTCATCAAAGAAAAAGTCAAACTTGCTCCTGTAAAGAAAGGTACAGCACTGATATCAATGAAATAATCCAGTACACATTGTTGCAATTTGTTTAAATATTCTTGTTGTAAAATATGATTATAACAATAAATAATACTGTTTTCAGTGCCCGAAGTTGTCGAAGAAAAGGCACTTAAACCAGAACCCAAAAAAGGTGAGAGTCAGGATTATTATAGTTAATTAAACTAAAACCATTATTATTAGTAATAAATTGAAATTAAAATAATTATAAGTGAATAATCAAAAGTAAATTGTTTAATGAAATAAAATGGTACTTTTTAAAACTTTTTTTGTTGTAGTCAGAATTATTGATCCCCCCCTTTTTTTGAAATGTTGTTCCCTTTTTTTAAATTTTCCTAAATGATGTTTAACAGAGCAAAGAAATGTTCACAGTATGTCTGATAATATTTTTTCTTCTGGAAAAAGTCTTATTTGTTTTATTTCAGCTAGAATAAAAGCAGCTTTTAATTAAAAAAAAACATTTTAAGGTCAAAATTATTAGCCCCTTAAAGCTATATTTTTTCGATAGTCTACAGAACAAACCATCATTATACAATAACTTGCCTAATTTAACCTGTCTAGTTAACCTAATTAACCTAGTTAAGCCTTTAAATGTCACTTTAAGCTGTATAGAAGCGTCTTGAAAAATATCTAGTCAAATATTATTTACTGTCATCATGGCAAAGATAAAATAAATCAGTTTTTAGAAATGAGTTATTAAAACTATTATGTTTAGAAATGTGTTGAAAAAATCTCTCTTTTAAACAGAAATTGGGGAAAAAATAAATGGGGGCTAATAATTTAGGGGAGCTAATAACTCTGACTTCAGCTGTAGGGTTTCTGCAGGGTCTGTCTGAATGACAACAGATTTTCACACTAACAATATCAAAACCCTTGTGAATACACAGATGAAGTTGGTCTTATTGGTCTGGACCTGGAGCTCCTAAACTCCATCAACCAAAAACTGTCTCTCCTGGACTTGCTAAGGAAGGACATTGGAGAAATGAAAAGCGATCTGGAGTCCACTCAGAATCAAATCACACTTTTACGGATGGACAACAGAACGATCAAAGGTTGCAAACAAAAAAACTCACTTATAATAATAATAATAATAATAATAATAATAATAATAATAATAATAATAATAATGATGTAAAGTGTAAATTATTGTTTTTAAAACACGTGCTACTAATATCCTTTACAGAGCCAGAGACTATTGGTGTGAAAGTAAAACCAGCAGTCAAGGAAAAAGCAAAAAGAGGTATTCATATTTGTCAATTTCACAAGCTAGTTCTGAATTTTAAATATATTGAGCTACTACCAAGAAGGCTGTATAACTTTTTCCAGAAATTGTGATTGATTTGTTTTGCAATGCTTACCTGGGAGTGACTGAAAATAGTTTTTTTTCTGTTATAGACCACGCTCTGATCAATGCTACTAGGACTGCACATATTAAAACAGGTAATTGACATCCATTATTTAAAACTTATTCAATAATTTCTCCTTTTTTCAGAGATTATGTATGTACAGTTTTGACCTTTTTCATAGGATGCAAAATTACTCATTATGCTTTGGCTGTATGCTGAAGGAGGATGCTCCGAACTTCTGGTCAACAGATTGATGTGTATAAACAGTCACATTTGGACTGCTTTGAAACAACAGCTTTAATCTATTTTATTTGTTTTTAACATATTTGAATTAATACTGCTGTCGATCAGCGCCACCTCCTGGACTGATCATTTTGAGAATGCGATCTAATAGGAATTAAAAACAACATCTTTGTGTCACCGTCAGATGGCATCTTATGCCATTTAAATGGAGTATCGTCATCGCAAAAGTCAATTTCTTTTTTTATTTCCAAATATATACAGGGTGTTCACAGTGTCTTAAAAGTCTTAAATGTCTTAAATCCACTGAAATATTGTGTTGTAGGTCTTAAATGTTTTTTAAACAGGTCTTAATTTTCCTTTGTTCATGTATACTGTAGCTGCTCAATCTGGCTGTTAACAGACATAAAATCACCAACAATTATTTCAATAAAACTTAACTTTTTATTTAAAAAATGTGATTTTTAACTAAATAAAAATTTCATTCATAATGGTCTTAAAAATGTCTTAAATTTAACTTGAAGTCTGCAGAAACCCTGTATATAACCAGCCCAAATAAATGTATTTCACCAAAATGTTTGACACACATATACTGTCCCACTAATAAATTGATTAATAGAGTGGCACAAATAAAGTGGCATTTAGAAATGACAGAAAAACACATACCATGGTAATTATTACACAATACAAACTAAATGAAACATAAATGGCTCCCAGTTAAAATCAACATGCAATTCAGCCAGCAGAGTATCAGTAACATACTTTTATTTTAATTTTTTGGGAATTGCATGGCTTAACGTTATATACTTGTTAAGTTTCACGCAAGTAATATTGTTTGCTCTATAATGCTGGGATGTATTGCATGTGATGTGTCTGTGTGCCTTAATGAGCTCCCCGAGCAGAGTATAACAGCTGGCAGGTCAGAAACACTGTTGCTGTATTTCAGCATCTTATCTGATGACACTGAATTAGGAGAACGTTTTTCTCTCGTGCTTGAACAGCATCTTACAGAATCAGGCTATAACGACTTTAACTATTTAACTATGTAGACTATTATGTCTACATTATGAGAGAAATTAATTTTTTTGACTTTGGATGTAAACCAGCTAAATGTATAACTTTTAAAATAGAATAATAATGGGATAATAATGAAAATGTGTTTTGTAGGAGCAATATTTAAAATTAGTTTTTTCACCAGTTTTGTATTTTAAGTGTAAATGATGTCTGTCTTTGTCCTGTGATTAAACTGAAGCTTTCAATCAGCTTAACTAGTTTTTTTTCCCCTAAAACAGAGCGTGAATCTCTAAAAAACATCACGAAACCAGTGCCTGCAAAGAAAGGTGTGTCTGAACGCTGTCTCAGCAGTTTAGATGATGTAAAACACAAAAATAAATGTGATTTGACTGTTTACAGAAGTGAGTGCTGTGATACATTGTCTATATTAGTTTAAATATTTTATTTGCTCATTTAGCTGTTTTATGAATAAACAATGCATCTCAGTATTTATTCTTATTTGCTAGTGATATTTAACAAAAATACAGCCCTAATTGTTATCTTTTTGTTAACACACAGTGCATTACCTAATGTTAACATGCAAGAATTCATATTTTAATAATGCATCAGTAAATGTTGAACTATGAGAAATCAATGCTGTACAATTATTGTTCATTTTTACAGTAGTTCATGTTAGTAAAAACTAATAAAACTTCCTTTGTAAAGTTTGACCAAATTATGTAACTATTTATTTATGTCCACTTTTTTGTCCAAGCCAAAGAGGCTCCAAAGGTTAAGATTGCGCTGGAGCCTAAAAAGAAAGGTAAATTTAACATTTTGTCTATTCTGTAGAAATAAATTACATAAAAATCACCACATCGCACGACATTCTCTTACTCCCAGTTTTATTGATGGAAAGTGAATACAAGTTGAAGTTGTTGTAGTTGGATCAGTGTTTGTTTGAATATAAATCTTCCTCTGATTACAGGAATCATCCCTGAGAAGGTCAAAGAAGTAAAGGAAACTTTACAGAAAGGTATTATAACTGATTTTTGAAGGGTATATTTACTAATGCAGACTTTAACAATGCTATTTCGCTTTTCAGCAGTAATTGTGTATTTTTACACTCTTAATATATTTCATATATTCTCCCCCTCACTATTAATGGTTTAATCATGGGACAGGCAGATGGCTATGTACATGCTGAAACCTATTTGTAAATGTCAACTGGAATTAAATATTTCTTGAGAGGGGAATATTGACAATATTCCCACTTGATCCAAATGGGACTGCAGATGGCAAAAATTCCCAGTTAAAATGAATGCATGAAGCATATTTGAAAGCCTTTTCGTCTACATTAAAAACGCTTTTACTTTCTGTTTTTGTTTTTAGAACCTGAGTTGGTCAAAGATAAAGGTATGCTCCTTTTCTGTTGCTTTACTTTTGAATTTTATTTACACTTCTGTGTATCCTGATATTGTAAATGTTTTGTAATCAGTAGTTGAGCCAATAGAGAAGGAAATTGTTGTTGAGAAGGAAGTCAAAGGTAAGATAGAAATTTAATATAAACTAACTAATGTATAAGTAATAGTTGTGTGTGTGTGTGTGTTTTATTTATTATAAATTGTAATGTTTATGAAAATTGTCTTTTGCTCATTAGTGCTGCTTTTAATTATTTGATTAAAATGTTTAATGATATGAATATTTTGAACTATAATTGCTTAAATTAATTAAGATTAATTATATATAATTATTAATTATAATTTATTTATAATTTTCAGCATTATTACCATTGCCTTCATTGTCACACATCCCACAGAAATCATTATAACAGACTGGCATATATATTCTGGAAATATTCAATAAACATGTAATATAGTTGTTAATATTATTTTATTATCAATTCGGAAAGTACTTGCATCACATGAATACGTAACAAAAACTATATTCTAATTGAAAAATATTATTTTAAATCATATTGATATTATAATTTTAAGCATAATAGATTTTTTCCACACATAAAAAAACAACATTAATATTACCAAATTCTGGTTGCAAGTACAATTATTAGATTAATATTTTCCACATCAATTTCTTCTGCAGGAGAAGAGCCTGAAATCACCAAAGATATTCCAGAGGTGGAGGAAGGTGAGTTTTTATTACAGAAACTGGAGAACACAGTCATTTATTTTTCATTAAATAGTTCTAAAGCATCCTCTGATGTCTTTCCTTCAACAGAGGACATTCCCTACTTCCAGTGTTTCTTTGTGGATGAGGATGACACTCAGTATCCGTTCTTCCCTTTCTCTCCACCGCTTTGGTGAATTCAGCTAAACCTCAGAGTAAATAATAACACGGTAAAGGCCGAGCTCTGATGGATGAAGAACCTGCAGCTGTGATGCATGTGGAAGTTCACAGTAGGTCTTACAGCATTACATCAAGAAGAATATGAAGGTGTAAGATATAATATAAAATAAGAGAAGATATTCCTGGATTTTAAAACTGGAAAACTTCCTTCTGGTAATTGTCATTTTAAAGAACAGAGTTTGCTGACACAAAATATCATCTAAAGGCTGTCTATCTGTCTTTTAACATGGATTCGCCTTATGTGTCTGATAATAAATATCTGTTTATACTTAATATATACGTCCAAGAAGGAATGTGAGTATAGTTAGTCCAGACAGAACTGACAGGACATCATGAAACAATCTTTCTGAACACACCAGTGGAGTTCAGATACAAGGATTATGCTAACTTTTAAATGCAAGGGACAATACCTCATTTTGTTGGGGTGCTAATTCAAAGCATTCCACTGTTGTTGTTTTCTCTCAAAATGAGGTTTTGAGATTGTTAACGTTTGAGTTTTGACTCAAAGAGAGGATATAGTAGATCAAGAAATATATACACAGATATTTTATGTCTTTTTCTAAGTAATACCGTTTAAGTTTACTGAAGTGACAACTGCACTGAGATATACTGTAAAGACAGTTTCTCTGACTGTATAGATTTTATTTTTTATTCTTTTTTTATTCTTTTTTTTACAATTCACATTTAGTCATTTTGCAGATGTCCAAAGCGACTTACAATTGAGGAGGCATTCAGCAATTCAACAAGAAGAGGCAATACACACAAGAAGTGCTAGTTATACAAAGCAACTTGTTAGTGCTCAGAGAATTTAGCGCTTGAGTAGAAATAATAGAATTTTTTTATTTTGAGAGAGTGAGAAAAAGAGAACATGTTTCTATAGGTGATTTAAGCCCACTCACCCAAGGCAAGTTACGAGTTTATGATGTTTGAAAGGCATGCTGTAACATTTAGGTGAGATAAATGTAATGTGTGCAACAGATCAAGGATGAGGCAGGATTCAATTTAAAATTTTAAGCTTTTTTTTACTCAATCGTTAAACAAAAGATGTAACAATAATAACGAAAAAGAGTAATAAACATTTACAATATTCTTTTTACAAAAACAATGAGTGTAAGCTAAATCAAAAAACGAAACAAAAAGCAAAACAATCCTTAAGTCTATTGTCTAAACTAGGCGACAAAAATAAATAATGAAAATGAAACCTGATATCTTCAGTGCACAAAACACCTGATCTAAACTAATTAAACTACAAAACTCAAAATTACACAGGTGGTAAAACACTCAAGCTAATCTAAAAAAAAAAACAAGATAAACTAACACAAAAGCTATTATAAGGCTCAGTTTAGAATCATACTGCGAACATCAAAGCATTTACTTAAAGCGAATGAAGTTTAACAAGTAAACTCGAATTACCATAGTAAAACTGAGATAATAAATCAGAATTTTGAATTGTTGTATGAGGGGAAGAGAAGAGGGTCTTGGTTTCATTCATCAGGGCTCAGGTGCTCATGGAAAAGATGGGTTTTTAGTTAATGACTTAAGGATTTTTTTTCATGTATTTTGATTTCTGTAATCTACCAAACTATTTGTTGAATCTATACCTCAGAGAAAACTGTTTTTTTTTTTCAGAGCTCTGTATAAATGAACACACTGGATTTTGCATTCAAATAATAGACCAAATTTAGATGTTTTATCCAGGACAATCATTAATAAAACATCCAAATGCAATATTTAAAATGCAAACAAATAACAGCAGCAAACTCCACATAACAGCAATAGTTTATGCAAATAGACATGGATGTTTTTGCATTCATACATGAATAGACCTACCTAATAAAATATAACCACTTCCTGTAAATGGCTTGTCTGTATAGTAAAATATACTCATACTGAAAATTAATAATCAGTATGGTGTGTATATATAAATGTATGTGCTTGTGAAATCGCATACTTAATACTATATACAACATATGACTGAAAACTTTCTTTGTGACCATTTAAAATAATATGTTCTATGTCGTGTGGAAGTGAATATAATACATCATCTTTCATGTCACTGCCATGTGACAAGTTTTGTCGCTCCACTTGGATATTCAAAAATTCTCTCCTGTGGCATCATGGGATAGTTAAAGTCCTTTTCAGGATCTTACAGAAAGCATGAAGTCATCCAGGTACATTTTACATTATACTTTCTATCTGCTTATTTTAGTCATACCTGTAGTACTCCTAATAGTACTCATAATGTATACTATATAATACAGATGTAGGGTTGTTTGGACACAGAGCGTGTTTATCTGCACTGCCTCTAGTGGCTTAACTGACACCTTAAGTACCTTATTTAAGTAATCGGCTCATTAGGCAAGCACTCTATTACTTGATTTATTATTTAGTGAGTGTTTAATGGTGTGTACTAACTAGTGAGACTGATCAAATGTGGGTCACCACACAGACATTACTTTTACTGCCTCTGTCTTTTCTGCAGGAGTTCAGCACGCGACTCCAGAAAGGAAACATTTGTGTTTGTACAAAGATTTATTTTTTCCTGTATATTATAGCAATACTTAAATGTATCCATAAATAGAAATAGTCTCTTTTGGACTTTTTAAAACATGTTGTTACCTTTAATCATGTAAACTTACAAGCTTGTTAGTTGTGTTTCCATGTAAACTGTGTGAGTAACTTGTTTTATTCAGCGGTTCCTTGAAATCGGCGTAAGTGTTCTTTTAATGGGATAGTATGTAAAAATTAATTCTTTTACATCCTCAGACTGTCCAAGATGCAGGTGACTTTTCTTCTGTAAAACATTAAAGATTTTTTTTTTAGCCTTGGTATTTCTTAAGATGTAAGTCAGTGGCATTTTGATGGTGAAAAAAACACATACAGGTAAAACAAAATTAATACCTGTGGCTTCTACAGAATTTATATATTGAAGTTTTTATAAAAGTAAAATGATCATTCTGTGAAAGAAAACTAACATTATTTACAATATTTAATCCACAGTTTCAGCAATACCTACTGCAACATGACTTGTATCAAACAGTAGTATAATTTTGTAAATCAGAGATGCCCAAAGTAGGGCTTGCATGCCAAAGTTGGCCCATTGTAAGCTTTGATTTGGCCCACCATCCCATCTGAGAGGTGAATGAGAATGATAAGAGAGGGTTGACGTAACCTTTTTTTTTTGTTTTTTTTTTTTTGTTTAATTGCTTTTTTTTCTTAATTTAGAGCAATCTGAAATGAAATGTTTTCATTAAATGACTCATATTTTATTTTAAAATGTAAATACTGCCGCTCGACGGATAAAGGACTAATCAAGGCAAGCAAATCTAGGCAAATCTAATGTAATTCTGTTATAAATGAGATTGTTTTGTTTTTACTGTAATAAGTTAATTAGAAAATGTCAAAAAAAATACAGTATTAGTTAATATAAGGCTATGTTTCTAGTCATTGTTAAACATTATTAAATAAATTAGGAAATCACCCATATTTACCTTCGGCCGACCAGCCTCAATCAAGTTTGGTTTTTGGCCCTTCATTATGTTTGGGCACTCCTGTTGTAAATAATGTTAATTTTCTTTCACAGATTTTTGTGCTTTCTAAAGCCTAATGTACCATCAAGAGCTGTAGGTATACATTGAGTTTTACCTGTAAAATGTGCTTTTTGACTCTCAAAGTGCAGGTACAGTAGCTGTGGAATATCATTTGATGACTCTGAAAGTTTAACAGTTTTAGCTAAAAATGTACATTTTTTTGGATGGCCTGAGGGTGATTAAATGACAGTAAATGAAATATTTTTGGGTGAATGTTCTCTTTAATGTTTCTCAGTGATAAAAGTGTTGCATGTTTGCATGAAGTTTATCATTTTAATGTATCTAGACCAGACATTTCTTTTTGTAATAGGAATTGTATGATTTCTCAAAACAAATTTGTGATGTGTTCATTTTTTCGGTCTTATGCATGGTATTACAGTCAGATGTTTTAAGGGCAATGAACTTGATGTGTATTTATATGTGCATTCTCTGTGAAATATAAAGGCAAGGCATAATATAGATTTTTGAAGAGAATCAACAATATGGTCGAATAGATTTTATGCAGCTGTAAATGCCTTTGGAGCTGAGATACAAACTTAATTTGTGATGAATGTCTGATTTAAGACCATAATAAATGTTTGCAATATTCCAAAACAATTGTTTGAGCTTTCTTTTATTAACAAAACCAGCATTACTTAATTGCATTTCATTTACAGAATTGCTTATTTAGTTTTTATGTGATTGACATTGTTTTTACTAACATTTATTTGTCTTTCCTTTTTAGGTCAGGTCATTTTGAGGAATTATTTCAGTACAACCCAGGCTTTTGTGTCAACATCCACTATGTCCAGTAGGTGGCATTACTGCAATAGGCATTTGTGTTACCTTTCTCCTCATTTTGTCATTTTTGTGTAAGAGCAAATTTAAATGTAAACCTTTCGTACTATCAATTGCTTTATATCAGCAACATTTCAGTAGTATGTCCACTTGAAAAAAAACATTTCAGAATATCGAGACTCATCGCAAATTTAAATAAATGTAAATGTCAAATTATTTTAGTATGTTTAAATAGTTAATTTACACACACACATACACACACACACACACACACACACAAAACATGCACACACAAAACATGCACTAGGATGATTCATTCATAATGATGAAAGATTCAGAAAAATACATTTTGTTTAATCTGACAGTCTCACAGAAAGCTGCCAATTGTTGCTAGTGTTCACTGCATTGGTATGCACACACTGTTTTGTGCTATTCAGTGTTTCTGCCAGACTGCTATTCAAGCGTCCAAAAAAAAATCTTAAACATCTCCAAGCCAACAGAGACTATTCCCAACTGAGCCAATACTAAAATTTCTCTTATTGCATAGTAGTTTTTTAATGTTTCTAAAAGAGGTATCTCATGCTCACCAAGCCTGCATGCATTTGCATAAATAAATGTTGATGTAAAATACAGCAAAGAACTGCAATATTACTGTCATATTAACTATTTATTTTTTTATTTTGACATTTTAAAAAGTAATTTGTTACTGTGATTCAGAGCTAAATTCAGCATCGTAATATCAGTATTTAGTGTCACATGATCCTTCAGAAAGTTTTATAATATGCAGATTTGTCCCAGATTTGTCCAGATTTGTCCTAATATGCAGTGTGTCCTTATTACAATGTAACAGTTTTTTTTAATTACAGCATATCACGAATATAACTACTACTAAACTACTATTTGCAATAATTAAATGCATGTACTTACAATATGGTTAAGGTTAGAATGTGGGTTAGTGTGCAATATGTATAATTAATTGAGATTAGTAAAAACGTAAAATAGTGTTATAAGTGTTACATTTTTGTTGTTAGTGTTGAAAAACAGCTCAGTATTTTTATTGAAACCATGATGAACTCATGCTTTGGCTTAGCAGAATGTTTTTTTTATCCTTCACATTTATTCACGTCATATTGGTCAAAAGTGACAGTAACCAGTATACGTATGATGTTTTATTTAGCATTGTCATATACATCATTTATGCAGATATTACTTATTCACTCTATAGTGGGCATTGCTAGTTTCAATACTACTTTTTTCAAAGCATTAGCAACATTAGACTGTCATTTTGAATGGTTGACATTAATTCAATAATGACAAGAAAATCAATACTGCAACATATGGCTTCTACAGATGGCTGTTGATTTATAGTCATAAAAGGATTTC